CGTTTGGTCTTTTTGAGTGTAAGGTACCTACGCTAATTTTGTCTGAGCGCGAAGGAAGGCGAGAGACTTGTGGACGATAAATCCGACGCTTCCTTGGGACAGAGAATCCTCCCTCCCAGTGATTAAAAGATATTTTTTTTATAGGAGAGGGGCAAACGAGCATGCGGCTCACCTGATGGTAAGTGACTACCGCCGCCCATGAACAACCGCAACACCAGGGGAATTGCAGATGTGTTGCCGGCCTTTTAAAAAGGAGTAGGCTCTTTTCTTGAAGGTCCCTAAGTCGTATCGGACCGGAAAAATCGCTGGTGGTAAACTATTCCACAAGGAAGTTGTGCGATGAAGAAAACCTTCTAAATCGCACAGTGGTGGACCGCCAATCATCCAGATGGTGTGGATGGTATCGGGAGTTCTGCCGCGATGTGCGTTCGTGAAATTTGGCGGCTGGGATTAATCCGAACAATTCCTCAGAGCACTCCCCATGGTAAATGCGAAAGAAAATGCAAAGAGATGCAACATCTCTTCGCAGTGCCAATGAGTCGAGCCGATCGGAAAGGACTCGGTCGTCGACGATTCGAGCCGCTCTGCGCTGGATACGGTCAAGTGGAAGGAGCTGGCACTGGGGAGCCCCAGCCCAGAGATGGGAACAGTATTCCATGTGAGGCCGAACCTGCACCTTGTAAAGTTGCAGGCGTTGAGCTGGCATGAAATACTGTCCCGCTCTGCTGAGCACGCCAAGCTTTTTAGAGGCCAATTTGGCCTTCTCTTCCAAGTGACCACGAAACTGCACGTCACTCGATATGTCAACGCCGAGGATTCCGATACTGGCTGAGGCAACAAGGGGAGTACCTTGAAACTGAGGAGATACGACAAAGGGGTTCTTTTTAGCGGTAAACGCGCAAACTTGTGTCTTCTGAGGATTAAACTGGACTAGATTTTGTCGCCCCCAATCCGAGACTTTGTCCAGCAAAGACTCGACTTCAGACGCAAGTTTGTTCCGGTACTCAGTGACGTTATCCCGAGAAATATTGGCACGGCCGGTGTATAGAGCATCACCAGTGCTGTCATCCGCATAGCAATGAATGCTGCCGGCTTGCAACATATCATTGATATGCAGAAGAAACAGCGTTGGTGATAGCACACAGCCTTGTGGAACACCAGCGTTAATAGGCTTGTAGTCGGAGCATGCACCGTCTACAACGACCTTGATGCTCCTATCTGCAAGAAAGCTGGTGATCCAATTGCATAATTTCTCGGGAAGCCCATAGGAAGGGAGCTTCGAAAGAAGCGCTTTGTGCCAAACCCGATCGAAGGCCTTCGCAATGTCCAAACTAACGGCCAATGCCTCCCCCTTGGACTCTACTGCCTCCGCCCATCTATGGGTCAGGTAGACCAGAAGATCACCAGCTGATCGAGCCCGACGAAAACCGTATTGGCGGTCACTAATCAGCTGGTGATCCTCAAGGTACCGGATGAGCTGGCAGTTAATAATGGATTCCATTATTTTGGAGAACAAGGGGGTGATGGCGATAGGCCTGTAGTTGGACGGGTCTGAGCGGTCGCCTTTTTTAGGGATCGGGTGGACAAAAGCTATCTTCCATGATTTCGGGACTACGCCTAGGGAGTAGGAGTACCGGAAAAGACGCGTTAAAACCGGTGCCAACTCTGGAGCACACGTCCTCAGCACAATTGGGGGGATTCCGTCAGGCCCACTCGACTTGTGGATGTCAAGGGAGAGGAGTGCTCTGCGAACCGAGCGCTGTGAGAACCGCATATCCGGCATGGAGCACTCACACCACGGGATGGTCGGCGGTGTGTTCCCCCCGTCATCAACAGTCGAGTTGGACGCAAAAAGGGAGCCTAAAAGGTCGGCTTTCTCTTTTGCGTCGTGGGCCAGTGAGTCGTCCTCCCTGTGCAGAGATAGTAATGATGGCTTACAGAAATTCCCTTGGACAGCCTTGGCGAGAGACCAGAATGCACGGGTTCCCGAAGGAAGGCGAACTAGTTTCTCGCCAATTCTGCCTATGTGCTCTGACTTTGCCTTGGCAATAACTCTTTTGAAGGACCTGGAGGCGAAGTTATACTTCTTTTTAAGTGTGCTGGTGTTTACATCCCGAGTGGCCGCAGCCGCAGCCCAGGCTTGATAACACTCCTGCTTACTGCGTAATGCAGTCTTACAGGAGCGACCAAACCAAGGCTGAGATCTGCCTCCGATGGGTACCACAGATGATGGAATAAATAATTCCATTCCCTGTAGCACCACATCAGTGACAGAGTCAGCAACAGCGCTGGGATCATCCGGCGAGAAGCAAACCTGCCCCCATGGGTAGGAAGCAAAGAAAGACCGCATTCCGTCCCAATCCGCCGACCTGTAATGCCAAACACGGCGGCAACCTGCAGAACGCAACCGCGAGGGGAACGTGAGTGGCACCACACTCCGGATCAGACAATGGTCCGAAGAGCCAAGACGGGCATCGACAGAAACCTGATATCCGTCCGGATGAGAGGTCAGCAGAAGGTCCAACAGGGAAGGTGTATGATCCTCAACATCTGGAATCCGCGTAGGCGATGTAACCAGTTGTGTCAGACCATATGCCAAGGCAAAGTCATAAACAGATCTCCCCGCATGATCGGTTAAACGTGAACCGAGCCATTCGGCGTGGTGGGCGTTAAAATCGCCAAGGATCACGATCTCTGCGGATAGGACCTGTTGTAGCAAGGAATCTGTAGCCATTTGGACGTGGTCGATGAGTCGGTCTGTTTCGGCATTACCGCTATGGGACCTATAGAGGCACACGTAGACGCGCGGATGGTCGTCGCTATCTATGCGTAGCCAAAGGATGGACAGGTCCAAACCTTCAAGACTGCCGAGGCGTCGAGAACAGATGTCCTCTCTGACATACACGCAAACTCCAGCCCGCGGCACAAAGGAGTGCTCCAATTTGTACCCCGGGTAGGAGAAATACGAAGTATCAGCCGGAGAGGACACCTGCGTCTCAGTCAGAAAGAGCAATGCTGGCTTCGCCGTCTCGAGATGGTAGTGGACGGCGTTTAGGTCCGAGTGAAGTCCCCTGATGTTGCAGAAATTCACGGATAGCGTGGCAGGGGTCGCCTTGGTCTTGTTGCTCAGTTTGCCCCGAGCAGTTATTGTGTTGAGCGGAATTTCGCCCCCCCCCCAGAATACGCGGGGCAGCCTGAGCACCCACGCTCAGGAGTGGAATACCATGGTCGTGGATGCTCAGCGAGGGATTCTCCAGGGGTACTGGTACCCTCTTGAGGTAATTTATGATGTAATTCCGCTTTCATGTTGATGGGGGGGGGGGGGGGGGAATTGGGCCTCCGGTCACATGCACTCACCAGACGAAACGCGGAAGCAGAGCTTCCACTTCACGCCGGTATTCTGTGAGGTCGTGGTACTAACTCGGCTCGAGCCGGCCCATACGTGCAACAGCAAAAGCTGCTGCGTGGCTCTACCACCCTTAAATCGCAGAAATCGAGGATTACCGTGCGGGGAGGGCTCTTTGGACTTTACCAGGAGTCGTTTAAAGTGGCAACCTAACTTCTACTGGAGATTCATAGCACACCCTACCCGCCGCGCCGATACCATGGTTGCCAGGAATAAGGAACCGCCGGGAGGATGTTCACCATAATTGCCACGCTTGGCATCGGGTTGGCAACCGCGAAAAAGTTGTTATTTGGGAGTCCCTGCTGACCATTTCATGTTTAGTTTCTCTGTGTCGCCTCTTAAGACACCTACGGAACAATATAGTGGATATTCTTACACACCGCCGATGCACGGCTACGGTTACGGTTATTTTATATTGTTATTTAAATAAATATGGATAAAAAAAATATACAAGAGTTCCATTTAAAATAATATTTTTAAACGAGATAATATGTTTTGAAAATAATATTTAGTACCAAAAAGATACGGTTTACAAAACACTAAATCTTAGCACGGAACATACAAAGCATGTTTGCATGTTCCGTGCTAAGAAAAAAATGTGCTTGGAAAGGAGGCAGGCGTTCTATTTATTATTCAACTTCAGTTAATATTATTTTTAGTGGTAGGTACGAGAATTTGTACTTAATATAAATATTTGAAAGTATACAATAAAGAGAAAATGAACCAATAACTTATACCGTATTACCGAAATGCAATAAAGCAAAAAATATTTTTAAATTTGTATTTATTAATTCAGTTATTAAGTTTCTCAAAACATTACACATTTATTTATTTTAACTTAAAATAATTGTAATTGTTATTATTAAAAAAATAGTATTACAAATAATATAAACAATTCTTAATAGTACATAAATTAACATTTATCCAATTAAAACAAAACATTTTCATGTATCGTTTTAATTCTAATATTAAAACACAGTACTGTAGCGGCAAGCTTTCAATTTTATTTTGCGCTATTTGTCTTTTGTCATCGTTACTACTGAGTACTAATTTGTTAACTTTCTGAGTGCTAATACTTTGCCATGCTGGATGTTCTAATTATAGATTTTAACCGGACGCCAAATGGGTATTTCGAGCAATGAAAATTTAAAATGATGATTACCCGCTCTGAAAAGGCCGCCAAAGGTTTCACAGAATGGTTTACCCGATTGCTGACTAGTTTAGAAGAGCCGTCAGTTATTATAATGGACAACGCCCGCTACCACTCGCAGCAAATAAATCGTGCACCTACATCGGCATCTTAGAAATGTGAAGTACAGAACAGGATACGAAAATTATGTATCATTATGCCTGCCGTAAGGTCTGTAAGTACGACAGAGAACGCAATAGGCGGCGTCTTGTTTCCCTGTTTTTATTGCACTGCGAGCAGCGAGCGTTTAGTTTCATTAATATAATTTTTTTTTAACTTACCTGCAACTCGACTACAAATATAAGGGTTGCCTAACTTGAGGATGAAGTGACTTTAGTTTTGTGATGTATTTTGGTCGCTAAGTATGTTAAAAATGAAGACATTGCGTAAATAAAACTGGCTATTATGCAAAATAAACTGTTTATTATACAAAATTATATTCACATCTTTTACTTATAATAATTAAACTTAACATAATATGACTCGATTCAAAATCTATTACATTTTAATGCTTAAGAGCTATACTAAATATATAATTATTGCATTCTTAAAATTACTTATGTTTTTGCTACCTAACAACGCAGTGCTCTTAAATTAGTTCAAACTTCGCAAAATTAACTAAAATGCAGCTATTGCAACATTTCTGTTAGTAAGAACTCAAAACTAAACCGAAAAGTATATTCAACTACATACACATACATACAAGGGATTTGTAAATGCATTACTGGTGAGGCTAAAAAAACTACAATACAAACTGTTTCAGTGGACAGAGAACACTCAGAATATGTAAATTGTTTCAAAGATTTTGCGACGGATGGCAATAATTGCTTTCTCCTCCACGAACTTCAACGCGAACGAAAAGATCCCGTCTAATTAGTACTTTTGAAATGTACGGAAAGCGATGGAACCTATAGTGCTGTCAGTTTTTTAGACTGAAATGGCACTGTTCTTATCAAGATAAGATTAAAAAAAAACATGTTAAACATATCTGTTAGTGATCAAACATTACCAGTCTTTAAATTTAAAAATAACAAACCCTGACACGTTCTCCATAAACCTTCACAAACAATAAATTTTAGCATATCTTACAAAAACATAGGACTTATCAATTTAACCTTGCGTTTGTTATATTTTTGTTTTCTATAGTCTCGAAAATTCGTTCGCTACTGATTACATGGTGTTAACGCTTATAGAAATATTTGCATCGCACACAACTCGATAAAGTGATGTGTGTTGTTAAGCATTATTTTCTTGTTTTTATTACCAATTGTCTTAACCCAAACAGTAATAAGATAATGAAAAATTTAAGTTCTCGAATAGACTTGAAAATTTATTGATAATTATAGCAAAGGGCTAACCTAATCCAAATAGATGGCGTAACGACCTGACATATGCAGAAAGTTTGTGGTTTGTGGTTTTCCTTCGAGGAGACCTACGTTCGGCTTTCAATTTGTCAAGGGCTGTAATGATGATAAAGATCCACGACTAATACTTGTATAAAACTTGTGTCGCATATTTAACAGACCCGGGAGGAGCACCATGATCATGTCAGTGTCTTCTAAGATATTTCAAAGGCATTTGACATATGTGTATGATGTGGATCACAAAACTTTAATTAATAAACTTAAATACTACGGCATTTGTGTGTAACATTGTACTTTTTTGATCTCTTACTATCATATCTCCAAAACCGAGAGCAAAAGGTTGCAATAAACGATGTAGTGTCATCGAGATGTGATAAAACTGGGTGTCCCTCAGGCATTGATACTTAGTCCTTTTTTGTTCTTAGTCTATAAATGATCTTCCTTATATGTCAGAAAATGGTCTGCATTATGATAATGATACTTTATTTTAAATAAAAAAAGACAATTTTAACAGTGGTAGAGCCATGCGGTAGTGTTTGCTGTTACACAGATGGGCTAGCATTAACGGCCCTATTCCCCCCCCCCCCCCCCCCCCCAATCAACATGGTCGCGGAATTAAATGGAACACTACCCCAGGAGGGTACCAGCATCCCTGGAGAAACCCTCGCTGAGCATCCATGCCCAAGCTACCCTCCTTTTTCTGAGCGTGGGTGCTCACAGGCTGCCCCTCGCGCATTCTGGAGAGGAGGGGGAGGGGGGAAGGAAGGCGAAATTCCGCTCAAGACGAAACCTACTCGAGGCAAGCGGAGCAATAAGACAAAGGCACCCCTGCTACACTTTCCGTGAATTTCTGCAATATCAGGGGACTTCATACAAACCTTAACGCCATCTACTAGCATCTGGAGACGGCAAATCTGCTGACCTCTCATACGGACGGATATCAGGTCTCCGTCGATGCCCCTCTTGGCTCTTTGGACCATTGTCTAATCGGAGTACGGTGCCATTCACGCTCCCATCGCAGTTGCGATTTGCAGCTTGTCGCCGTGTTTGGCACTATAGGTAAGCCGATTGGGACGGGATGCGGTCTTTTTTTGCATCCTACCCTTGGGGGCAGGTTGGCTTCTCCCCGCATGATTCCAAAGTCGTAGCTGATTCTGTCGCTGATGTGCTACTTCAGGAGATCGAATTATTTATTCCAGAGGCAGAACTCAGCCATGGTTTGGTCACTCCTGTAAAATTGCATTACGCTATAAGCAGGAGTGCTACCGGGCTTGGGCTGACGCATCAACGTCCCGAGATGTAAACACCAGCGCTCTTAAAAAGAAGTATAATTCCGTCTTTAAAAAGTGTCATTGTAAAGGCACAGTCAAAGCACATCAGCAGAATTGGCGAGAAATTAGTTCGCCTCCCTTCAGGTCCCTCGCCAAGGCTGTCCAAGGGAACTTCTGTCAGCCATCTCCGCCATCTCTGCACAGGGTGGACGACTCACTGTCCCATGACGCAAAGGAGAAAGCCGATCTGCTAGATTCTCTTTTTGCTTCCAACTCGACTCTAGATGACGGGGGGAACACAACGCCGACCATCCTGCGGTGTGAGTGCTCCATGCAGGAAGTGCTGTTTACACAGCGTTCGGTGTGTAAAGCACTCCTCTCCCTGGACGTCAACAAGTCGAGTGGGCCTGATGGAGTTCCACCTATTGTGCTGAAGACGTGTGCTCCAGAGTGGTGCACCGGTTGTAACGCGTCTTTTCCGGTACTCCTACTCCCTAGACGTAGTCCCGAACTCATGGAAGACAGCTTTGGTGCATCCGATCCCCAAAAAAGGCGACCGCTGAGATCTGTCCAACTACAGGCCTATCGCTATCACCTCCTTGTTCTCCAAAGTAATGGAAAGCATTATTAACAGCCAGCTCATGCGGTACCTTGAGGATCAGCGGCTGATTAGTGACCGCCAGTACGGTTTCCGTCGAGGTCGTTCTGGTGGTGATCTTCTAGGTTACCTAACTCATAGATGGGCAGAGGCAGCGGAGGCCAAGGGGGAGGCGATGGCCGTTAGTTTGGAGATAGCGAAGACCTTCGATCGGGTCTGGCACAAAGCGCTTCTTTCGAAGCTCTCTTCCTATGGGCTTCCCGAGAAATTGTACAATTGGAGCACCAGTTTTCTTGCAGATCGGAGCATCACGGTCGTAGTAGACGGTGCATGCTCCGATTACAAGCCTATTAACGCTGGTGTTCCACAAGGCTGTGTTCTATCACCAACGCTGTTTCTTCTGCATATCAATGATATGTTGCAAACCAGTAACATTCATTGCTATGCAGACAGCACTGGTGATGCTTTATATGCCGGCCGTGCCAATATTTTTTGGGAAAACGTCGCCGAGTACCGGGAAAAACTTGTGTATGAAGTCGAGACTTTGTTGAACAAAGTCTCAGACTGGGGGCGACTAAATCTAGTCCAGTTGAATCCCCAGGAGACACAAGTTTGCGCGTTTACCGCTATAAAGAACCCTTTTGTCGTATCTCCTCAGTTTCAAGGTACTCTCCTTGTTGCCTCAGCTAGTATTATATATAGTTTCGTGGTCACTTGGAAGAGAAGGCCAAATTGGCCTCTAAAAAGCTTGGCGTGCACAGTAGAGCGGGACAGTATTTCATGCCGGCACACCACTTGCAACTTTACAAGGCGCAGGTTCGGTCTCACATTGAATACTGTTCCCGTCTCTGGGCTTAGACTCCCCAGTGCCAGCTTCTTCCACTTAACCGCATCCAGCGCAGAGCGGCTCGAATCGTCTCGTCGATGTTGCATCTCTTTGCGTATTTTATCGCATCTTCCACGGGGAGTGCTCTGAGGAATTGTTTGGAATAATTCCAGCGGCTCAAATTCAGCATCGCACATCGCGACAAATCTTGCGATACCATCCATACCTTCTGGATGTTTGGCGGTCCACTACTGTGTGATTTAGAAGATGTTTTCTTCCTCGCACAACTTCCTTGTGGAGTCGATTACCATCGGCGATTTTTCCAGACCGATACGACTTAGGGACATTCAAGAAAAGAGCCTACTCCTTTTTAAAAGACCGGCAACGCATCTGCAATTCCCCTGGTGTTGCAGTTGTTTGTAGGCGGCGGTAGTCACCATCAGGTGAGCCGCATTCTCGTTTGCCCCCTCTCCTATAAAAAAAAACACTTCGCACAGATATAGCGCAACCAAATACTTCCATGTTTCCATATGGTTTGGCAGCAAACTCCTGTAATTAATTTACAAAATAATAATTTACGGGCAATATATAATTACTAATCGACCGAAACAATTAGGCCTATGACATCTAAGATGTGATTGGAAGAGAATTTCAAATCACCAGAACATTGATTGATACATGAATATAGTTGGTATTTAGTAAGTGATGTATGTAATTATATGAAGTTATAGCCTATATACGTCCCACAACTGGGCACAGGCCTCCTCTCACTTCTGAGAGAGTTTTAGGGCAAGGAAGCGGCCGCCATGCTGCCCCAATAATGCGTGTTGGCGGACTTCACCTCTTCGATTTTTTTTTATTTCTCAGACCCCAGTGTTTCTTGCCAGATCTTCTTCTAGGTTTTATTTTTGAAAATTGTGTAGATTTTGTAAGAGCTTTGAATGAGCCAAATATTTTTGGTTTTGACTTTGAAAGAAAAGCACAATGATACTATTGGCTTTATATGGAAGGCCATGATCATATAATACATAATATTTTGTCATCACAATAAGAGACAATACCTACCACAATGTTTAAAATTAATATTGATATTTGATGTGAATCATGTCACTTGAGTCATGCAAACTTAATTTTAAGAACATTAATGGTATAGGAGACTACATGTCATTTGCTAATTTTCAATTCTCCATAACAGTATCACCAATCCATTTCAAGTATGGTGGGTTACCATTTTTTATTGGTAATGATATCACTTCGCAGACTTCATATGGATGGTTGGCACGCACAAACTCTGTCAGTTTGTCCACTAGTGATGTACGTGTTTTAATCATTAACAGTGCCTGCAAAAAATTTTACAGTATGGTTAATTAATTTATTAATAATTATTCTATCATGGACTACAGTATATTATCCTGGTGATTAAGATAACCCATTGCTTTGTGGTGATAGTGAGAGGCAAATACGGGAAATATTATAACCTTATGGTTTTAAATAGATGCCAGTATGTCCATCTTCTTCCACATATGCACACCGCTGGGTAACTATAACACAGACTTTCAGGCGGAATGTATGGGTATCATTCAAGCGGCCATAGCAATAGATGCTAGGAAGGTTAATGATTTCTCCACCAGAATACTGACCGACAGTAGGGCGAACTATAAGCTCTGAATTGCAATGTGGTGAACTCGGGACTAATATATGAATGCCATCAACGATTAAATGAGGTATGTAAAAACAACAATGTGACTCTGCAATGGATAAAGGGATACAGTGGATCCAGAGGCAACGACGCAGCAGACGCACTGGCCAGAAGAGGATCGGCTCTGGCCACTATAGGGCTGGAACCAATCATACCAATCCCCTTTGGTAATGTTTGTTCACTGGTACGTAGACACTTCACTAATCTACACGCTCAGCTTTGGAAAAATCTAGTAGACTGTAGACAAGCTAGGGAGGCCCTGCCTGAAATAAACAGTCGTTTAACCAAAGTTCTAATGAGACTGAACAAGCCGCAGATCAGGATAGTAACAAGTGCTATCACAGGACACGGCAACTTTAACAAGCATTTATTTACTATAGGTGTTACAGATAGTCCCCTGTACAGGGCATGTATGGAGGAAGAAGAAACGGCGGCCCGTGTGATATTGAAATGTCCGGAGGTCGCTACGTACAGGGCTAAACATCTCGGCACGCCGAGATCACTCCCCGAAGTTGCATGCAACATCAAAGTACTGTTGAGCTTCTTCGGGGAGATCTCATGGCTCGAATAAGCATATTATTCCTGCCCACACGCAAAATACGCGCATAGACGTGGAGTTGCGGAAATCAGCCCGTCGTAAACTAAACTAAACTAATATCCATCTTCTTATGTCATTTGTATAATACACAGTCTGATGAAGGACAGGAATATCAACAATGTGAGAAGTCAGGTACGACGATCGTCTCTCCACCAAGTGTGTTGAATAGGGCAATGAGCATCCCTACAACGGGAGAGGCCCATGCCTATGTGAAGTACAAGGTGATAAAAAGAATGTAAGGTGGCAATATGTAATTTTTGCGTAAATATATGTAACTTAAACGCTCCAGTTCAGAACTTTGACAATATGCAGATCAAGTACACTTTGAAAATATACAGAAAATGTACAGACCAAGATTTATTACACTTAATAAATGGAATCATCATCATCATTATTACAGGCTCAAAATCAAAAGTTCACCACTGGATATGTCCAGGCCTCCCTCATATAATGCCTCATATGTAAAGTTGACACACCTTTTTTCTTATAGGATAGGGTGACAAACGAGCACACAGTCCACCTGATGGTAAGTGGTTCCTGCGGCCCATAGACATCTACATGAAACAAAATGCAGATGCATTGTCACTCGTGAGGACTAATATGGAATGTTTCATTTCCAGTAAAATGGGTCACCGGTTCTCTACACTCACCATACGAAACACAGCAGAGTCAAGTTGCTATTTTACACTGGTATTCTGTGAGAGTGTGGTCCTTCCCTGGTCGAGCCGACCCATTCGTGCTACAACTATACTACTAATATAGCTGCAGCATGGCTCTACCACGTATAATAACAAATGGGTTGGCAATTACAGTTTTTTATCATTATGTATTCTTTTTTACAAGATAATCTACATATGGTAGTGGATTAGCTGCCACTATGTGTTCACTAAATAGAATATAATTTTTACATGATAGAACCAGCTATATTATGGTTGTAGCTCAAATGGGTCAGCTCAACAGGTGAAAGATCATGCTCTCACATAATACTAGTGTAAAATAGCGGCACAATGCTGCTGTTTCATATAGTGAGTATAGAGAACCGGTGACCCTTTTCACTGGAAATAAGGCATTGCATCTTAGTCCCCAAGGGTGTGTGTCTGCATCAGGTGGACTGTGTGCTTGGATACTTAATCTATAAAAAAAATCATTATATAATAATATACAGGAGGTAAGTTTACTTGATTCACTGTGTAGTGACATACCTCATTACATGCCATGGGTGTTGTGAGGGAACAGAGGGAAACAAATCAGGAGATGGGCAGCAGTGTCTTCCTAATAACAACTTCAAATAAAAACCTGCAGTTGCCAATCCGATTGCTAAGCGACTATGGCAAATTTCCCCTCATATGAGGCAATCTATGGGTGACGCCTTTGTTCAGCAGTGAACTTTTAATAGACTGTAATAGTAACGATAAATTTACATAATTAACCATAATATGTAAGAATTTGCTTATGTAACTTACCTCACTGTCTTCATTAATCTCTCCCTTCCACTCATATATAGATGTGATTTGGGGTATAATATTAACGCAAGCAGCAAGCTTATTCTTAACCAGTCCATTTCCAATTGTCTTGCCCACATCTGTGCTGGGAACTGTCACATAGGCCACAGAGTATATGCCTGAAATTATTTTAAATTACATGATGAGTACAATTTTCGTTGTACATTTGTCATTTTACAATTGTCCATGTTGTCTGAAAAATAATCATAATGATTTTTACACTCAAGAACAAGGTCTCAGCCCAAAATGTGAACGAATTCAAAAATAGATTAGATAATCACTTTTTTAACCGCAAAAGGAGTAACTAGTGGGCACAAACAGGATACAGGCATTATCAGGTGTCTAAACCGCCTGCCTGCTAATATATAATAATAATAATTGATACTTGTAATAATATGTCCTCGGAATATGCTCATACATAAGATATTCATTTAAATTCATAGAGAAATAGATTTTTAAAAATATCCTATATTAATTGAGATAAAAAAAATTAAATATAATCATTGAGTTCATTGATCAGTGATAACCATAAAATATGTTTCCATAATATGAATGGGTTGTTATTGAATTAGATTCTTAACTGGTTACATTTGTCCACTGAAAGTGGAACACTTACTGTGCGCTGGACAAATATGCATGCAGCAGAGAAGGGAGCACTAAAGGCCTTTAAACAAAGGAAATCTTTGTCTTTATAAGGAAATATTTCCACATTCCAGAAGGAACATACTGGATCTTTACACACAGGCCTCAAACTTTATAACCTAGACAGTATATACTTTTGTTTGAATAATTGGCAACAGTGCTTATTTCACTGACACATTAAACATTATTAAGTCACACAGGCAAAGGGGTGGGGATGCAACACCAATTTTAACCTGATTTATGTGTTTTATTTAGTAGTTAGTGATTATAGTTAATGCCATAGATATTGAAAAGATGATATTACATAATTCTTTAAAAATCAGTAGTGTAGCATGGGTTGCTGCTGTCCAGAGCCTCTATAGCCAATAATGCTACCTAATATTCACACTTATTTAAAAAAATAAAATAAGTTTGTATTCTAGTCTGTACATTAGTCAAAAATCAATGAAACAGAAGCCCTAAACTAACCTAACCTCTGGCGTAAGTAAGTAGGTATGTATAGATTATCTGTATTTTCAGATTTTAAATGCTCCAGTGTTCAGTGAGAGGAATTCTCCAGATTTATACTTATATCGTCTAATAACTTAAATAGAAAATAAAAAAAAACATATCAACATATACATAATAACATAATCATAATCACAATAACATAATCTTCAAACATTTGAACATATTTTCTTGAAACTAGCTTAGAACACTCTTGATAAAGACACCTTTCAATTTCCCCCTATCTGTTTAGGAATAACAATGCCACAGGCAGACACACAGATACACACTACATACTTATAACATCCTGTTTCATCGGGGGTTAAAAAGTGATGAAAATCAGCTGAATTTCTTTTACAAAAGGCCACCTAAAATCTTCCAATGGAGGCCCATTGGAACCCAGCTTGCCACGTTACTGTTAACATCTTAAACACTGCATTTGGTGAGGCCAAATGCTACAATAAACAGGATTTCGCACAAGGCTGCCTGCGTCGCATGATTATTACTTTGCATATGGACATGGTTTATCACTCTCTGTATTTCTGCCGTTGGTTGACTACGTAAAAGAACCCATCACCGACACCAAAATAACCATCTAAATATTTAGGCCGGCGACGGGACAGCATTTAAAATGGGACATATCTGTTACGTGAGCTGTGTTACTTTTGTATGGCGTACACCGTACACATCTGGTTCGGTTTCTACTAGATTTTTTAAGCATGTAACATTGAAAGTGCACATTCTGTCGTACATTTTTCTATTTATCTTTTATCGTCTCAAAATGTGTAATCGCTTACCTGCTTCAGCACTTCCAGAAGACATATTTGCTTGGGATACTACTAAACACGGCTTAATAATGGATAGATATAGTGTTAGTAAGTATTTTCTATTAAAACTTAAAAGCATTATAATTTATGCTCTTATAAAATTGGTTTTTTATCGCCTTTTTCTATTTGTATTTGGTATTTGTTGTTGTTGTTTTTATTATTCGCTCGAGAGTGCAGGCAAAGGAATATATATAAGCCATACAGCCTTGACTTTTTTATTTAGAATATATAGAATTTTAAAGTGTAAAGGCCGAAGCCAAGTCTTATTTTCTTTAATTCTTCATATTTTCAAAAACCGTAAGTTTCAATCCATGTAGATTTGTCAGTCCAATATTTTCAAAAATAGGGAACAGTATTATGAATAAAATTGCAAAGTGCTAAATATGTCTTAGTATTCCTAAGAACATCTTGCAGGGCACGCGGGGCGCTTTCTGAGTTTTCATAAACTTGTATAAGTTTTTCGATGAGTAGCAATCTTTCTATGGCGTACGCTGGGCAGTTAAATATTATATGTTCTGCAGTCTGATCTGTTTCTGTATCGCAGAAGTTGCATGTTGCAGATGCTACTATTCTCACCCTGGAAAGATGAGCGTTCAGTCGATAGTGGCCAAATCTAAGTTTACACATTATTGTATAAAATTTTCTGCTATGGTATCACTCGTTGCGAGCAAAACCAAGGAATACTTAATTCTGAATTAATTGATGCATCATCATCATTACAGCCCTTCACAAGTCCACTGCTGAACATAGGCCTCCCCCAAAGAATGCCACAAAGCACGGTCCTGAGCCACCTGCATCCATCGACTTCCATCCATCGACTTTACGCTGAATACCAATAGATGAAAACTTCGACTCGAATTAAAAAGTTGAAAGCTCTTACTGGAGAGGGAGCCTGTTACTGGCAAGCGCAGATTTGGGCGACTTTATAATTTAGTATATTAATTGACGATTAGAATTTTTTAAATATCTATTTTGTGATTAATTTACTGTTGACACATCTTAATACATTTTTCTAAATTAAATATGGATCATGTAGCAACTTTTAAATCTACTCTAATTCATTCAGTATATCATTCCACTGTTATATAAATTACGCGTATATTCTAATTACGAAATAACTTAGCGGTAAAAGACACAACAAGTTGAAAAATAAAAACATTAAAAAAATGCTATTAGGTTTCGTCGTTCTAAACGCTGGAAAACATTGATTCAACACAAAAACAAAACATCAGATAAACTTTTAACGCAGTATTTTAATTAGCGCTATTATTATTTAATTTGGCTTATCGCTAATTATTATTATCAAAACCATTAATTTGTAATGAGCATATAAAATATTGTGAAAGATATATGTAATATGTATACGGATTTTTGTTTTAGATGTTAAAAATAGTAAATAAATCATTAATGTTCTATAATAATAACTCATAGGAGTTATTAACGGATCTCTCGACCTTAAAATACTTTATTAATGAATATATAAATCTGCATATAAATATCATTAATAATGTTATAGTCGTTCTTTAGTGATCGTGAAACTTCTGAACGACTAGACCGATTGTGGTAATTTTACACAATTTGTTTTTTTAGTCAAGTAAACGGTTTATAGCTATGATAGGATTCGATGGGTGGCGATGTGGTCGGATAATACATTTTTACATTTACACTATAAAAAGTCCGACGTGAATTCAGCGGGGACTCTTTCTCTATGATTTAGATACCTAAGTAGGTATTACACTTGATAAACAAACTCGAAGGCCTGACAGGGTTTGTAAGTTGTAAGTCACGTACGAAAACGAATATGGTAATTTCTGACGACAATTTGGTGGCAAGGCATAAAAGCCTAAAAATTAATAATTTTTAGTAACATTATAGGTATTATAAAAAAAAATAAAAGAAAAATTATATAAGCTATTTAATTTATAAACACAGGAGCAACAGCTAGGGACACGAAACGGCATCTCAATTATGTCACCGTACTTATCTATGGCTGTCATTATACGCAGCACGTATTTCTGAATACACCTCCCACGATAACCTTGAGCAAAGTGAGCAACAGGGGAGCATGGTGCACTCTGTTTCCTGGAAAACAACAAAACTTTAACAATGTTCACTGTAAGACATACCTAAATACTTTCAAGTTAAAATTTGTAAATTGAACACATACTTAATTCAAATTCACGTAACGATTCTCGAGTGGCAGTTACGTACCAGCGAGTTCAGCGTTGAGTGTATCCCAACTAGATGAAATGACAAACTGAGATATCTATTAATTTGTGTTGGAAGTTTATGTTCAGCAATGGAGGCTGTGATTATGATTATGGTGAAGCTGATCCGCTATAGCTTAGCCATCATCATCATCATTACAGCCCTTCACAAGTCCACTGCTGAACATAGGCCTCCCCCAAAGAATGCCACAAAGCACGGTCCTGAGCCACCTGCATCCATCGACTTCCTGCATGTCTTACCAGGTCGTCACTCCATCTCGTGGGGGGACGCCCTACACTTCGCCTACCGGTACGAGGCTGCCACTCGAGAACCTTTCTTCCCCATCGGTTGTCGGTTCTTCGAGCTATATGGCCGACCCACTGCCACTTCAGCTTACTAATCCGTTGGGCTATGTCGGTTACTCTGGTTCTACTGCGGATATCCTCATTCCTAAGTTTATCACGCAGAGAAACTCCGAGCATAGCCCTCTCCATAGCTCGCTGAGCGACCTTGAGCTTCCTCATACGGCCAGCAGTGAAGGACCACGTCTCAGTTCCATAAGTCATCACTGGCAACACGCACTGGTTGTACAATTTCGTTTTCAGGTTTTGAGGTATCTCTGACGAGAAGATGTGTCGTAGATTCCCGAACGCTGCCCAGCCGAGTTGAATCCGTCGATTGACCTCTCGGTCGAAGTTGGACTTACCTAGTCGGACTATTTGTCCCAGGTAAACATACTCGTCAACAACTTCGAGCTTAGTGCTCCCAACAACTACCGGCATAGGTGTGACATGGACATTGAACATGATCTTTGTTTTGTCCATGTTCATCTTAAGACCTATCCGTTGGGAAACACTATCGAGGTCATTGAGCATAGTGCTTAGGTCCTCCAGCGATTCTGCCATAAGGACTATATCGTCGGCAAATCGAAGGTGAGTGATGTACTCGCCATTGATGTTGATACCGTATCCTTTCCAGTCCAGAAGCTTGAAAACGTCTTCCAATGCAGCGGTGAAGAGTTTCGGGGATATGACGTCACCATGTCTTACACCTCTCTACAATTGGATAGGTTTCGTACTCTGGTTCTGTACTCGGATAGCCATCGTAGCCCTACTGTACAAGCACTTCAACACTTCGATATACCGACAGTCAACTTGGCACCGCTGAAGGGACTGCAGCACCGCCCAAATTTCGACGGAATCAAAGGCTTTCTCATAGTCCACATACGCCAAACATAGTGGCAAATTGTACTCTTCGGACTTCTGTACAATTTGCCGAAGGGTATGTATGTGGTCTATGGTGCCAAAGCCCTTTCGGAAACCGGCTTGTTCGGGAGGCTGGAAGTCGTCAAGTCTGCGCGCGAGACGATTCGTAATGACTCTCGAAAACAGCACGTAGACGCGGCTCAGAAGGGAAATCGGTCTGTAGTTCTTCAAGAGAGCGTTGTCACCTTTCTTGAAGAACAAGACCACCGCACTTCTGCTCCACGCCTCCGGTGTAATGCCACCATGGAGGACGGAATTAAAGAGCTTCTGAAGGACTTCAAGTACCGGTCTTCCACCCGCTTTCAGAAGCTCCGCTGTAATTCCATCCTCGCCTGGGGCCTTACCGTTTTATGGTGCTGGAGAGCCATTCTAATCTCGCTCAGACTGACGTCCGGGATATCTTCGGAATAGTGTCGGATGAGACTCGCTCTTGGATCGTTACTCACACTTGCGTGTGGCTCCAACGATGACGTGTACAGCTGCCCATAGAACCTCTCAATCTCACTCAAAATCTCAGGTGTCCCGGAAACGATGCTGCCACATTCTGTCTTCAGCTTTGACAGGTGACTCTTTCTGGCAGACAGATCTCTGGCAAAGACTTTGGAGCCTTGGTTCCGCTCGATCGCTTCTTCAATACGAGCTGTATTGAAGTTGCGTAAGTCCCGCCGCATGCATTTGGAGATCTGTCTGTTCAGATGCCTGTATGCTGTCAAGTCTGTTGAAGAATGTAGCTTCATCTCCCGTCTAACAGCCATGAGATTAAGAGTGTGATCGGAGAGTTTTTGTGTTCTTCTGCGGCGGGTCTTGCAGAACTTAGCTCCGACCGCATGGACAGTTTCCACGAGCTTGTCATTCATATCGTCCACTTCATTGCAGTCTTCTAGGCACTGAAAACGGTTTTGTAACTCGAGCTGAAAGGTTTCGGGACTTTGGAACAGAGCACGAGGGGGACGGAGCGTTGACTTCATTAGACGAGACCTCTCCAACTTAACGTTTAGGTTCAGTGTGCCTCTAACCATTCGGTGATCGCTACCAGTTTTCACCCTCGCGATCACGGAGACATCACTGAACAGTTGTCGTCTGGTCGTCATAATGAAGTCAATCTCATTTTTTGTCGAACCGTCGGGGCTCGACCAGGTCCACTTCCTGTGGGGTCGCTTCTGGAAGAAAGAGTTCATCATAAAGAGTCCCTCTTTCTCCATGAAGTCGGCCAGCTGCTGGCCCCTTGGGTTCCGTTGCCCTATTCCAAATTTCCCTACTTTCAGCTCACCGTTTTCTCTTGTGCCTAGTTTTGCATTGAAGTCTCCCATTAACACCGTATATTGGGTTTTGGAGGAATGCATGGCTCTAGAGATATCCTCATACATTTCCTCCACCTCCCCATCGGGGTGTGCCGAGGTTGGTGCGTAAACCTGTATGACCTTCAGCGAATACCGTTTGGTGATTCTGAGTATAAGGTATGCAACCCTCGTCGACACACTCCCGATCTTTACAACGTTGTTAACGAGAGACTTGTGGACGATAAATCCGACACCTCCTTGGGACAGATGGTCGCCCTCCCGGTGATAGAGCAAGTTGCCGGATTCGAGGATTACCGTGTCCTCCCCCTCTCTTCGGACTTCGGATAATCCTATAATATGCCAGCGCAACTTGTCTATCTCTTCTTCCAGCTCCACGATCTTCTCGTCAGTCCTCAGGGTGCGTGCGTTGTACGTTGCCAGGTCGAGTCGTCTAAGGTGGCAACCGAACCTCCACCGGAGATTCTTAGCACCCCCTGCCCCGCCGTTACCATGGTCGCCACCGTAGCCAGGAATAGCGGGGCCGCCGGGGACTGGGGGCCGTCTCTTTGTTATATTCTAGCTTAGCCATGACACTAGTTAATAGGTTAAACTGTAAGGGTAATAGATAATAAATAATAGATAATAGAATGAAAGTTAAAACGGAACGTAAATTTTAATGTGAAAGGTGACGGAAGTATGGTAATAATATAGGTACGAAAGAGTAAGATAAAAATAAAGAAGTTTAAATGGTGTGCAAGCGAGATAGATAATTTTAACTATATAAGTGTGTCGAAAGAGAAAATAGATCATTATTTGTAATGGCGATATGTGTTTTATTTCTATCTTACAAAACGAAGCATTTTTTTTTACCGTGTAGTGGTGTATGACAATCCATTACCTCATATCATTCCCTGGGTGTCATAGGAGCCGACAGAAGGAAATGAAACAGGAGATAGGCTATAGCGTCTTTCTGATAACAACCCAAAAAAAAACTGCAGTTGCCAATTCGCCTACCAAGCGTGGCAACTATGACAAATATCACCCCTATGAGGCAATCTATGGCGGAGGCCTACGTCAACAGGGAACTTTTAATAGGTTGTAATGAATAATTGAATGAATTGTTTAAGGGACTGGTTACAGCCCCGATTACATGAGTCGAACCTTCTTCTCCCCATCTCTTTTCTTTTTTTTTAAAACGTTACCCCCACACTAGGATTTTCTCCTGAGTCGTGGAGGCAGTTTACAAATATAAATTGCACAAGGACAAACATCCAGACCCGGAAGAATTATTTGTAGGCCATACAAATATTTGTTCCGTGCGGAATTCGAACCCGCGGCCCCCAGCGCAACAACTGATTGCTAAGCCACTGCGCCAAGGAGCCGTCAAATCAAAATCTCTAGAAGTAAATGGTTTGAAGAGTCTCGCTTAAAGTGCAATGAGCTGTTTAGCGTGATGAATAGACATCGGATTTTATGCATTTGCATATGCAAATAACTCTCTAATTATGGCGTTAATGCATATTTTAGCCTTTTTTCCCAATCGTGCATATTTCGTTAAGTAGCTGGAGGTACGTACAGGGACCTAGGTGACGGAGACGTGTAGAGCTCGAGCGCAGTGGCTGACTGAACTAACTGGCCAAATTTTAAATTTTGTCCAATGACGTCAGTTGATGTAGAGAGGTCGTTTTCGGCGTACAAATTGATACTGGGTGACAAACGTCACAAATTTGCGCTTGAAAATTTGGAAAAATACTTAATTGTATATTGTCATAAAAACTATACATAATTTTATAAACATTTCGCTGTTTTTGTACAGTCTTTAATTAAAAAATATAAAAACAATAATGGTTTTTCGATTTTGTATTGTGCATATTATGGGCATATCAACAGTTTTAAGTGCATATTTCGGCCTTCTTTAGTGCATATTTGCATGCATATTTTGGCACTTTGTCAGTGCATATAATCCGATGTCTAGTGACGAATTTTGTTTGCTTATTTAAAAAGAAACGTTAGAAGATTTAATCACTCACGCGCAGATTTCCACTCGGAACTTTTGTTGTGGTTCCTTCTCTCTATTCAAGATAAAATACCACTTGTTATTAATATCTTTCGCCGCTCGAGGTGCGACAAGCTGAAAGTGTATTTTTTTCAATATAGCAATTTATAAAGTGACATTAGCTTAAATATTATCATGTAATGATTCCTACCCTTTCTGTAGATTTACACAGTTCCAAAAAGTCTTCTTCGTGTCCAAACTTTAGGCCGGATTTGGGTTTCAGAACGTCACTTACTACGTTAATTTTTGTCCGATTGTATATTTTCCTCTAAAACGAAATAAATATGGTTGATATTAATTTTTCTACCAACAAAAATGAATGGAGTTCAATAATGTAAATGCAAGCACCACGGAAAAGCAAATTGGAGGATCGTACACTCTTATCTATGGATCGTACCGCGACGATACGTTGCCCCGTCGCAGTCAGTCTTCGTTTGTGAAATGTCAACACACATGTTAACGTAAACGAAGTTTTGAATTGCTTACGTCGAAAAATAAAGAGCTTCATACTGTTGTGCTTCGTATGGTGACTGTAGAGAACCCTTTTTACTGGAAACGAGGCATTCCATCTTAGTCATCAGGGGTGATAACGCATCTGCTTTTCGTATTCTTAATCGAGGATAGATGTAGATGTCTATGGACCAAAATATCCACGTGACCACTCGGTGGACTGTGAACTAGTTTCCCATCTTTATTCTAAAAAAAATATATTAAACAGTTTTGTAAATAAAATTGATCCTTCAAGTCGAATCTAAACTAGCAATTTATTTGTATAAATTAAATAAAGATAGTTACCCTTTCCAACAGTCGTTCGATATGCTGTTCAGGATAATTAGGAATGTCTTCGCAAATACCCAGCCTTTTGCACTTCTCCGTGATTTTCGGTACAAATAAAAAATTTGAACTAAAAATATGATCCGGAAATATAATGCTGTCACGCGTTTCTGAAAGTTATGAAATGCTATGAATATTTTAAGTTCAAATTTACATCCTAGCATCGTTTAAAACAGCTAGAGTGAACATTTTACAGATTAAAATATGTTTTAAAATTGTATAATTGCAGCCAAAGAAGTGCCTTTCCCGTTAGTAAAATGTAGTGATTACATAACTCTTAGTGTGCAACTCAAAGGGCATATAAATTACTATGTTTATCGTTACATCCTATTATAGTCTACTGGTGAATATAAGCCTCCCCGGTACATTGCCTCATAGGGGAGATATTTGCCATAATTGTCATGCCTGATAAATGGGTTGGCAACAGCAGTTTTTCATTTTCAGTCGTTATTAGGAAGACGCTGCTGCCCATCTCTTGATTTTTTCCTTTGTCGCCTCATACGACACCCACGAGATGATATGGGGTATTGGATATACTTACACTGCCACTAGGTACACTGAAAAATCACTATGTTTATTGCAACTATAATATATCCTCCACATAAAATTCATTAAATTCTTAAGCTGTTACATACGGCGTAACATTAATGTACGTGTAGTTCAAACATAAAACATATCACACATATATAACTTCAACAAACATTTTTAATTTCATAATTCAATTTCTTAACACTGGCCTTAAATAATGCTCCAGTTGACGTGTATAACTTTTTTTTTATATTATTCTAAACCGGCGCTTAACTACAATGCCACTTGATGGTAAATGGTAATGTAGCCTAAGATGGTGAAGTGCACTGACTTAACAAAAGCCCAAAAGCCTGGTGGAAGGGAGAGGGAGGAGTTAAATTATGCAATTCCTGCGTACACTCTCCGAAATGCATCTTAAGATTATTATTAACTTTTAAGATTATTTATATATAGGGTTAGTGAGCGCGGAGCCGATATTCTCGCACTAGTAATGCTCGTTTCCATTGTCAGTCTGTGAATTTTGGGTCTAACATTGTACGCAAAAACTTCGTCCGTCCATCGGCAGGGTGCACACCGCACCGCAATAAGGTTGGCATTTAGTTTATAACAGCGTGAGAAAATATGACTTTTGGAATTTTCTTAGGGCTGTCAACCCACCTGTCTTACTTTTAGGTAAACTGCAAGTTTGTAAATTACACTAATATTCTCTCTCTAACACAGAAATCATCTCGTCTTGCCGATTTCGTAAGAGACACGTTCGAAAATATATTGCTACTTGACGCAGACGAGACAGCTATATAAAATGCTGAATATCAAGACCGGTGAAGGAGAAAAGTGCTAGAGAAACAAGGTGTTTGATGAAATATATGGTGGCATAAATGCTTTAATAACAATAAACGATAAGCCTCATGTCATGGTCATTTAAAAGTAAATTAAGCCTTTAATGTTTATTAATTTAAAAAAAAACACAAGTTTAAGAAAATAAAACAACACGCACAGATTATGAGCCTTGATGGTCCTAGTGAGAACTAGCATTACTATTATGAAATTGTATTGACATCGATCTTAAAATTTCGGATTAATAAAACGTTGCGGACGTTTGATTAATCCGAAGAGTGAGTGAGTGAGTTAAGACCGAATTAAAAAATTTAATTACTTTAATGAATATAACATATAAATGTCCCATTGCTGGAAGCATCGTAACAATAACAAGGATGTAGGAAAAAATAAATTGTCAAGAACCCCGTGCTAATAATGGTGATAATTCTAATAATAAATGGAATTACCTGTTCGCGATACAGATAATGCATCAAGACTGATCAGTGATCACCCACATGTGACAGCCCTACATTTAGATAAAGCTAAATTTGTTTTATTTATTGGAGTTCGTTAATATCCACTGCCGGACAATTGTTTATCTCGTAGATAACTCCCAAATTTGACGGTGACGCGTCAAAGTTGCGAGTTATCTACGAGACTTTCCAGTCTGAGCAATTTAAGTCTGGCGTGAACGGATCAGATGCCATGAGGTCTTTCAAGCACTATCTACCCATTAATCGCATTGTACGACATCTATCTTACTACTTACTAGTGCATAAATAATTATCATTGTTCACGTTATAGAAAATGTACACCATAACTGACCACTCAGTATTACTTATTCAAGTTTAAAAACTTACGATTTAATGTAGATTCATTCCTAACAGCAAAACTCGTGTTGCTAATAAGGTGAAAACTTGGTTTCTTAAAACCCTGAGTTGATATATGGACCTGAAATACGAAGTAAATATTATAATTTTAAAATATTTTATTATATACAATATTAAAAACTATAATTAAAAAAAAACTAAAACTAGTATCTTAATTACCATACAGTCCTACTCCCCGCGGTATCGTGCCAAGAACGCTGGCTGCATTTCCACGCTGAATGGCTATACTTAGCCTTTAAGCGAGAAAATACCAGTTCTCTTATCACCAGCAGCAAGCGGCAACGACCAACCGCGGATGGAGTTGCTTTAGGAACTTCACCGCACGTGGATCCCACGGGCCCATAGTCTCTACAGCAAATGGTACAAATATGTAGTCGTCTCTCAGAGACTCATATTTGCGCCACTTAATCAGTTCCGCCCCGGCTCTAAACGAGGTACCCCTGAGATGAGAGGCCGCCAGAGTGTCTACACAAGTAGCATCCCACACTAGGGCTTAGCCTCTCTCCCAAGGGACCAATGTCATAGTGTGGGGTCTCTTGCAATATTGCACAAGGGAACATTTATAGAGACAAGAGATTTGCCATCAGTGCTGAATGACACATGAAAAAATATATTATTCAATTTAGGATCTTTAAAATCCTTACCTAACAACGAAATCTATCTTTGAAATTGAGACTAGGCGTATAGAACTGGGTTCTTTACGAACATCAAAATCTACCAAATTGAGAGACCTCTTTACCTGCAAGAAATTCTGCGGTCTTTATTTTTTTTAAACTTCTTTTGGAAAAATAATATTTCATTTTAAATTATTTAAAATGAGATTATAATAAAATAATAATAATATAATAATAGTGACTTATTTTAGGCTCTATATCTCTGTTATCTCTACATCTATATTATGTTTGTATTAAAATGTATTTCATTTTACGAGCCGTTCATTTATTTCATTAATGGATAAATAATTTTGTTTTCATAAAATCTTATTTAGTCCAATTCAAGTAAGTTGTAAAGAAGTTCAAATAGTAAAGAGATTTTATTTCAGTTTCTCTTTACTTTCGTAAAAGGGTTTTAATTTTTTGGCGCCAAACGATATAAATATTTAAGAATGTGCACATTAAATTGCCATTTTAGCATAAATGTGTCAATTAGCAGTCGCATACTATGCTTACTCACGCGTAATAAAGAAGAAAGTGGTAGGCCAGTCGTACTTTCATTTCGCCGTCGTCGGTAACACTTCGTAGATATAACGGTAAAATATCAAACGTCAGATATCAACAATCTCACTTTTTATTTCTTTACAAACAAATAGTGGTAAAATTCTAGTCGAAGCTAACATTTGTGCAGAAACATATCCACACAATTGAATTTGGTTATGTTGTGAATATCCCTTTCAATCTGACACGGCATCCCACCCTTTTTCACAATGGTAAAATGGATACCTTCCTTTGCGGAGGCAATAGAAAATCCATGCAGGAATTCTAAAGGATAAAACTCCACAGTGATCACCATCAGCATGGATGAGAGGAACCGTGACCTCCATTTCAAACGCAACTCTCCATAGCTTTGTTTTGCTTGAATTACGTCTCGAGGTTTCTCCGCGTGATAGACTTAAAAATGAGCATATCCGTCAGTAAACTAGAGTAACCGACATAGCCTAACGGATTAGTAAGCTGAAGTGGTAATGGGCCGGCCATATAAATCGAAGAATCAACAACAGATGGGGAAGTAAGGTTTTCGAATGGCAGCCTCGTACCAGTAGGCGAAGTGTAGAGCGGCCCCCCCACTAGATGAAGTGACAACCTGGTAAGACATGCAGGAAGTCAATGGATGCAGATGGCTCAGGACGGTGCTTTGTGACATTCCTTGGGAATGCCTATGTTCAGCAGTGGACTTGTGAAGTGCTGTGATGATGATGATAATGACGTCCCACGGCAGTGCTTTCTGCCTCTAACGCCCTTGCATTGCAGTCAGGATATCTCGACACTACTTGCGAGTCATAGTCTTCCTTGAGAGTTACATTATTCGAAGCCTGCATCCAAAGCGTCCACAATTCCAGATGTACCGTTTCTGGCGCCTAGGCGATGTAGTCGCTGAGTGGGATCTGCCCTCTTCTGATCGCACTCAGAATCCTACCTCTGAGCCATTAAGGATTCGCAGTGGCCGCTTTCAAATCGCCACTCAACATCTGTAACGTGACTGTGGGTAGGGTAAGGTTTACCTCATTCAATTGTAAAAGGGTCACATAGGGTACGGATAAGTTTGGATAAGAGTGCCTCTGTTTACACGGACACTTAAATATTTTTCACACAACTAATGGCTTCTGATTATTAGCAAATTGTCGCCGCGTCCGAAAATCCGGCAGGCGTAAGCAGGCCGTCAACGCACCTGCAAATTATACAATGGTGTTGCAGTTGTTCATGGGCGGCGGTAGTCATTTACCATCAGGTGAATTGTATGCTCGTTTGCCTCCTTTTCTATAATTTTTTTTTAAAGAGAACATCTTTTTCTTAATCAGTCCATAAAAGTCCACTGATGGACTTGAACCTCTGCCGTTGTATCAAGGATTAGCCTTAACCGTCACGCTTGGCAGGTGTCAATACACCTGCCAAGCGTCCCAGTAACTGACGTTTCGCATCTTATTGGCGCTAGTGTACGTCATTGAACTAGTTATTTTAGGCCCAGCATAAACCAGATGATTTTATTGCCATCTGTTGTAAGCCATGGGATCGTTTTGAGATTTCCTATATAAGTGCAATCTGCAAGTTTTAAGAAATGCGTCGTTTGATCGACTTTTCTTGGAAGCCTTTTTCCAGAATTGGATTCATTTCGTTTTTTTAGCTGCATGGCAACAGAAAGGGATGTTTGGCTTTCTAAAATTACTGTCCGGCTTTTAGGGCAAAAGTCCGGCTTTTTGAAGCGCCGAGTCCGGCTTTTTCATTTTAGGAGATGGCAACCCTAGACACGAGACTATGCCCATAGTGTAATGTACATTGTTTATACTTTACCTTTGTTGATCTAAATTATGAGTAAATGAATATATTTTGTTACTTTTGTTATTTGATAGAACATGACTGAATTAAAGATTATGAAAAAATGTATAAGTCTATTGACACATTTTGGCACAGATAAAATTGCATCAAAATGAATAACACCCAGACATAATTAAATTTTAACATAAAATAAATTTTATGTACTTACGAAAGAAATCCAAAAGAGAAATTGACTTAGCAAGTACATTCTCCAACGAACATCAAAACTTGGCTTTCTTTTATACCGAATAAAATGTCACTAATAACCACATTTCTACATGAAATAACACAACAATCTTTGCGATAAAATGGCATTTGAGTAATTAACGGTCCACAACACGTGTTAGTTACATAAGTTTTGAAGTTAGCAATCCGCACATGTATGTTTTGGCGCGGCTCAGTTGCTACTGGTGGCTACTTGGTACTGGCAACTCGCCAACCCGCAGATATGATGTTGGTATGGAGGCTTTATTTCTGTTATAATCAGAACATTGACTTCTTAAACCTTTGTAAACTGTGATTTTGATTGTAGAAATTTTTATTTTAAAACATAAAGACTTAAACGAACAAATATACTCTTTACATAATACAATTTCTTGTACTATTTTCAAGTTTGTATATTTCAAAGTTAAAGCTCGTTTCCTGTTTAGCAGTTCACTTGGGTATCAACTGAAAATCCACATATTTCGGTTGTTAAGCTAGTCGTATATCCATTGTTGTGTACTAGTTTGTAGGGTAAAAGAGCTCTTTCTTTATTTCTAATTCTCTACACGTAGAGATGGATAAAATAAGAATAATTTAAAATAAAAATTTTTGTACAATAGACTTCAATATAAATTATTAAGAACAACTCAAAAAGTATTAGTTAGACCTTAATCAAATTTATATGGGATCACATGTGAAGCACCACCTTTCAAATAAAAAAAAGAATCATCGAAATCGGTTCACACAGTAAAAAGTTATGTGGTAACACATATTAAAAAAACATGCAGTCGAATTGAGTACCGTCTCCTTTTTGAAGTCAGTAGAAAAGTAGCAATGGTGTCTGGGTCATCAAATAATACCAAATAAATTGTTTCCTGTGTTTATAATTGAAACAACAGTTACTTTATAAATACGTATAGAAACCTAATAAATAACAATATCGCAAACAATTTCTTCAAATGTAGCGTAAATTGTTGTTTCAAACCATCTCTCCATTGCACGTTCTGCACTAATGTGTTTCCAGACTTATTTTATTTGCTGAAAAGTAAAGGTTAATATAAATATATTTTTTATACTATAAATAATATTTTTTCAACGCTGACCTCGTGGTGAATGAACACTTAAGACTGCGATTATCAAATTCACTGACCGACAAGGATTGAACTCACTTAGGTGTCGAAGACAGGTTGCAGATGATTATTGTTGGGTACAAACGGGTTAGTCGATCAGAAAAGAGCCACGCTCCTAAGCAATACCAGAATACACAACAAGGCATTCCATTTAGGTCCATGCGGTGATGTGATAATGCGTCTGTGTGACTTTTATGAAAACACTTGTCAGTTAGGATCAGTCTTTTCTCTTGTCCCCTTGTCTCTGATATTGTATCGGATCGAGTGGGTTCGGAATAGTGAGAGCCTCGTGTACTATAATATCTATGTAGATATAGTCTAATTTATAACTGCACGCTTCCATGTGTTTTTTATAGATTATCACTTCTATCATTAAATATGTGAAAAATGAATTAGCTAAAATCTGTTACGCGGACCTTTTTAACATCATTAATATAGTGGATTTCTGCAAAGCAACGTTTGATTCTATTAATTACTATTAACATGTCAAATATAGTATAATGCCAAAATATACTAAAAACAAACAACGCACAAATTTAGATTTTATGACACTAATGACCATATACTCAAACACTACACACTTTTAAGATGTCGTTAAGTCTCGTGGTGTCACAGTCACTTCTACTTAGGCGTTTCCATCTGCAAGAACACTCGCGGAAGTCTTGCATAAGTTTCTCGCACGTGAAACTGTGTACTGTTTACATATTGTATGAATTCTTACAAATTTTTTCTGCAATAAATATCTCGTGAGTAGCTCGCGAATCATAGTATCGCAAATTATCGCAGAGATATTTAAAGATATTGGAGTGTTGTTGCAAGTGGAAACGCGGCCTTAGAATTTGTTTTTATTACATCCCATATTTGGTATATATATATATATATATATATTATCCCATAATTAAAAAATTAAAATAAAGTTGTAATATCTTAAAATAATACATGAAATTTTTAATTTTTAATCTATAAAAAACAGTGATAATAATGTCAGTCCGAACATGAATATCGATTTGGATTGCGAAATAATCAGCCCGTAATATGGCATAATATCTACTGGGAAAGTAAAAAATGACTTTCAATAAGAATTACACATGTAATGTATATTGAATTAAAAAAATATTTTATTCTAATAAAAATATTCTAAAAATGCATTCTATAGAGACAGTGATGCTCATCAATAATTAATTACTATGAATTTAAATAGTGTGCACTTTTTGCGAGATATACGAAACTACTTCGCGAGTCGATGTGAACGTGTTTAGATTTGTAATCAATTGCGCTCGCAACTACTCGCAGGAAACGCTTGACAAACTGTCGCGAATGCGCTCGCTACGTAGTTTACATCTGCAAGCTACTGTCTGACAGACTGTCGGACACTTCTTGCAGAAGTTTCCTTGCTGGTGGAAACGTGGCCTTAAAGTGGTAGAGACATGACGAGACTTAACGGCGTCTTAAACTTGAGTAGCGTTTGAGTATTTGGGCATCAATACACAGTAAATGTGACAAAATCTACCAAAACTACAAGGGAGGCGCGTTCAGTTTTAAATTAGATTATTCTACTATAATCACTTGTGTATTTGACGACTTCCGGAAATATTTAATATTTAATATATTTTAATATTTGGTGTGCACTATGGTTGATACCGGTCAGGAGATTTAATCAACTGTTGGACATTGGTTTACCTTATGTGAGGTACTAGTGAATTAGTGACTCTGGTATTTTAGAAATGGTACAAAAATATTAACTAAATGTTAATAAAACGATAAAATTACGCTTAAATCTATTAATTGTATGGAACCTGTAGACATTTTGTATCCTAACTGTGGTCAATATAATTTATATCTTTCAAATTTTATTGTTTTCATGTTGTATCAAAGGGACAAACGTTTCCTGCTATTTACTAAAAGTATGCATGTGCGAGTGGATGTCTCTTAGGTGTTAATGGTGTCAGCCTTTTGTCATCTGACTCTGTGTTTCTTATATCCTATACATCGATCACTAATAAAAAATCAGTAGATACACAATCAGTGACAAAAAATGTCCTTACCGAATGAGCGCCCACTCGAACATTTGGGTGCGCTTGTAATCTAGTAGCATTCGAATGCTCAGACGGTAAACATGCCTTAGTGCTCGTTTAAAAAGTGTAAAAATCACACATCCGGGATGCTAAAAAAGGATGGAATTTCATATTTTCGGTAAATATTAATATTATCATTATTTAATTGTTATCACTGTATTGTAAATACTGATATTTTGTCAAGAAATCATAGTAAAAACATTTTTTAAATTAATAACTCATTCCTTATCCCAGCGACGAGCCTAGGTGGTAAAATTTGATTGCTTTTTATTGGCACTTTTTACTTTTGACTTTAAAACATGCGTGTATGGTTGAATTTGTTTTGATATAGGTTGACCAGCGAATATCGGTCATAAAAATGTATTGCTATTTGTACGTAGCTTTGTGAATACAACTTTAGGCAATGCATTTAAGGTTCAATTTACATTAATGTATATTTATTTCAAGTCAAAACAATTGGCGACAGTTTTTAGAGAACTTTTGCATGGGATTGTGTATCTAGTTTTTTATTAGTGATTGATGATTCTATATAACTATAAGTAGGCAACCACTTTTTTTTGTAATTATATTATTTTATTACATACATATCAACAATTATTTCTATTAGCAATTCGAACACTTACCTTTTCTATTGATTTCCTTGGGATTCTTTCCTTCGAGTAAAAGATTCGCCCAATACGTCCACATTAAATTTGGTAAAATTTTCTGGCGCCTGAAATTTGATGTCGGTTTTTAAAAGTCTACAATGGGAAATGCGAGTAAGATTTTTTTCGAACGAAGTTCCTCTTGGCCGCTATAAGGAAGTGAGATGGAATGATATCCATCTCTCTCGCACTTTTACTTACCTTTTAATACACTTTGTCATTTTAATGAATTTTTATTTGTTAATCAATAATATAATACGTTTAACAATAATAAGATACTACGAAAGGAACTTCGTTCCAACCCAGTGTTCCACGACACTCACGCATGTTTTTTTAATATAGTACTGCTACGCAAGGTGCTTGTCAATTGTTTAATGAATTTCAGTCTCTCCCTGTATTATTAGAAAGGTCAAAGAAATCTAGGCAATCCTTTATCGTGGGTTAAATTGGAGTTGCGATAAATAGGCTTAGGTTCTTTTTTATTTGTTCGTTCTCCTATTTCATCAGACTCTATTAAGCTTCCGCTGCATCCAACTTTGAAAGAATTTGGTTATGCTCACCAAAGAGGTTTATCAGTACGGCACCAATACCTTTAATATTTGCAGGTTGCTAAAGGCTTGTTATCGTGTAGAAGCTTTATAAGAGAATCCTCTATATCTCTATATCCTTATCCAGTGAGTGTAGTAAGAGGTGACTATGTGATAAGTCAGAAAATGTATGATATTAGAGGGAAAATGATACATGAGATGCACAGCACCATCCTTCTTATAACAACTTAAAATAATAATAATAATAAAAAACTGCGGTTGAATAACTATGGCAAATATTCCTAAATTAATGTCAGGTGGTACTTCAAGGTGTTGAAGTTTTTATTCAATCCTCTGTAGTGCCCATCGGAGGCAGATCCCAGCCGAGTTTTGGCGGTTTGCTGCTCGTTGCGGTTTAAAGTGGATTTTGATATGTAAAAGTGGTGGGATTTTGTGTATTAAGTGTCTGCGCATGTGAACTATTAGTAGAAACGGTGAAACAAGTGCTTTGACAGTGACGTGATTCTCAAGATAAGATCTCTGTCTGCTTAGGCGTCTTGAGATACCATCGCCAATTGTCAGCTTTCTGCTGGCTCAAGTTGCCGTCAAAATCTCCCAAGGGCTGCGCAATGTGACGCATCAACATATTTTAAGGCAGTGTACTATGAAGGATGATTATACAATGTAACTTCAGGCTCAGAAGGGCTAGAACTCAGCGCCGTAAAGCAAGTTATTAAAAGAAAAGCAGATCCCAGCCATGGTTTTGTTGCTCCTGTAAAATAGCATCACGCCATAAGCAGGAGTGCTAACGGGCCTGGGCAGACGCATCAACGTCTCGGGATGTAAACACCGGCGATCTTAAAAATAAGTTTAATTCCGCCTCCAGGTCCTCCAAAAGAGTCATTGCCAAGGCAAGGTCTGAGCACATCATCAGAATCGGCGAGAAACTAGTTCAAATTCATTCAGGAACCCGTGCATTCTGGTCTCTCGCCAAGGCTGTTTAAGGGAACTTCTGTCAGCCATCTCTGCACAGAGAGAACGACTGGCCCATACCGCAAAGGAGAATGCCGATCTGTTAGGCTCTCTCTTTGCGTCCAACTCGGCTCTAGATGGCGGGGGGAACACACCGCCGACCATCCCGGGGCATGAGTGCCTAATGCCGGATGTGCGGTTTACACAGCGCTCGGTTTGCAAAGCACTCTTCTCCCTGGACGTCAGCAACTCGAGTGGACCTGATGGAGTCTCTCCCATTGTACTGAAGACGTGTGCTCAGGAATTGGCACCGGTTTTAACGCGTCTTTTCCGGTACTCCTACTCCCAAGGCCAGGCGTCCCTAAAAAAGGCGACCGCTCAGACTCGTCCAACTACAGGCCTATCGCCATCATCTCCTTGTTGGCCAAAATAATGGAATCCATTATAAACTGCCAGCTCGTGCGGTACCTAGAGAATCACCAGCTGATTAGTGACCACCAGTACGGTTTTCGTCAGGATCGATAAGCTACTGATCTTCTGGTATAACTGACTCATAGGTGGGTGGAGGCAGTAGAGTCGAAGGGGGAGGCATTGGCAGTTAGTTTGGACATAGCGAAGGCCTTCCATCGGGTCTGGCATAAAGCGCTTCTTACGAAGCTCCCTTCCTATGGTCTTCCCGAGAAATTGTGCAATTGAATCTTTGCCTTTTTTGCAGATTGGAGCATCAAGGTTGTTGTAGACGGTGCATGCTCCGACTACAAGCCTATTAACGCTGGTGTTTCACAAGGCTGCGTGCTATCACCAACGCTGTTTCTTCTGCATATCAATGAAATGTTGCGAACCGGTAACATTCATTGCTATGCGGATGACAGCACAGGTGATGCTCTATACACCGGCCGTGCCAATATTTCTCGGGAAAACGTCACCGCGTACCGGACCAAACTAGTGTCTGAAGTCGAGTCTTTGCTGAACAAAGTCTCGGATTGGGGGCAACAAAATTTAGTCCAGTTAAATCCCCAGAAGACACAAGCTTGCGCGTTTACCGCTAAAAAGAACCCCTTTGTCGTATCTCCTCAGTGTCAAGACACTCCCCTTGTTGCCTCAGCCAGTAACGGCATCTTGGGCGTCGACATATCGAGTGACGTGCAGTTTCGTGGTCATCTGGAAGAGAAGGCCAAATTGGCCTCTAAAAGCCTGGTGTGCTCAGCAAGCAGAGCGGAACAGTATTTCATGCCGGCACACCGCCTGCAACTTTACAAGGCGCAGGTTCGGCCTCACATAGAATACTGTTCCCATCTCTGGGCTGGGGCTCCCCAGTGCCAGATCCTTCCACTTGACCGCATCCGCCGTGGAGCGACTCGAATTGTCGACGACTGCGTCCTTTCCGATCGATTCGACTCACTGGTGCTGCGAAGAGATGTTGCGATGGAATTGTTCGGATTAATCCCAGCCGCCAAATTTCACGAACGCACATCGCGATAAAACTCCCGGTACCATCCCCACCATCTGGATGCTTGGCGGTCCACCACTGTACGTTTCACTAGGAGTTTTCTTCCGCATATGACCTCTCTGTGGAATAGCTTACCACCGGCGATTTTTCCGGACCGATACGACTTAGGGACCTTCAAGAAAAGAGCTTACTCCTTTTTAAAAGGCCGGCAACGCACCTGCAATTCCCTTGGTGTTGCAGTTGTTCATGAGCGGCGGTAGTCACTTACCATCAGGCGAGCTGTATGCTCGTTTGCCCTTTCTCCTATAAAAACAATATGTTGTTGTAAGCTTGAAAATTTTTTGATTTCATGTAAAATATAATGCGAGAATTATGTTATCCGGAATCATTGTTTCCGAAATACGCTCTGACCTGTTTTATCAACTGATTCACGTAATCTCTTGGATAATTATTAACGTGATCACAAATGCCTTTTTGTTCGCAATCTTTCGGAATATCTGGCACGAAGGAACCTTGATGACTTGACGTTTGTCCTATAAATAAAAGAAAATTGAAAATATACTTAATAACTACGCTCAGCTTACTTTTATAATTGTTTGCTTAATTATTTCTATTGATAATGGAAGATGGTATCAAGATTATCATTACCATTACAACCTATCAAAAATCCACATAGGCCTTCGCCGCGGATTTTCTCATAGGAAGATGCTGCTGCCCTCTCCTTTCCCACTGTCGCTTTTTACGACACAAAGGTAAAAAAGGTTTCCAAAGGGTAAAAATAACTTTTAGTAAAAAATAAAAGCCGGCCTAAAACAATTAAAAGTAATAAAATAATTTTAATAACTAGTTAGTTAAAAAGTTTCACTTGTCTCATTTGTCGTAAGAAATTACCTTATTCAGAAACAGAAACAGAAACAGAAACTTTCTTATTCAATATAGATTATAAATAATACTTATTGAAAGTCATTCTTTTGTATGATTACCACTGGTTCGAAAAAAAACCTCTGTCCTGGGAATAACCAGCAAGAAACCCAGCGGGACTTTTTTTTTTTAATAACAGCTTACAATCATGTATGTTACACAAATTAACAACACAACAAATTAGTAATAGCTTGGTAGCGATCACCTCATTTCCAGGGGTTATTATCATCTATAAATTCATTAATATTATAATAACCCTTTTTATACAAACTTAGTTTAATAAAGTTTTTGAACTTTGAGCAGGTCAAATTTTGTATATTTTCTGGAATTTTGTTGTAAAAGCGTATACATCGCCCCAAGAATGAATTACTGACTCGATGGAGTCGAGTAACTGGTACTACTAGCTTGTGTCTGTTCCTAGTATTTACAGAATGAATATCACTTATTTTTGTAAAACTACTTTTATATTTGTGTACATACATTACATTTTCATAAATGTATTGAGAGGCCAAAGTTAATATATTAATTTCCTTAAATTTTTGTCGCAGCGACTCTTTAGGCTTTAAATCATAAATTGCTCTTATGGCCCTCTACTTTAAAACAAATATAATTCCAGTGTCAGCTGCATGTCCCCATAGCAAAATACCATACGACATTATGCTATGGAAATAGCTAAAGTAAACTAGGCTAGCTGTTTCAACACTAGTTAGACTTCTAATCTTTTTTACGGCATATGCTTTAACTTTTTTTTAAAGTCTTTTTTTAGTGAAAGGTCTGGTAAAATTTAGAAAAACTGCTACGTTTTATCTTTATTACTAGATGGATAGGTACTACTACAAGTTATATATATATATACACACACACACACACACATATATATATATATATATATATATATATATATATATATATATATATATATATATATATATACCAAACAATACTTTTTATCCCGATAAAAAGTATTGTTTGGTAAATTGGAAAAAGAACGGGAAAACGAAAGCAATGTCATTTTACACCAAAAGAAAATTTTAAATTAAAGCTAAATGTCATATACGATCCAGTTAACGGCAAGTTTGCAGCGCGCTTGAAGCAGCGTCCAGCTTGCAGTGCATCCATATAGACTCACATTCAAGTTTGCCGTTAAGTTTACGTGATGTTACACCGGTTGAAACCATGGTGTCTCTCGCTTATTGGTCCGACTAATGTCATGCATATTTGACCGCTGATAAAATGTTCAAGTTTACGTGACACTGCAATCTTTTAACAGTGGTAGAGCCACGCGGCAGCTTTTGCTGTCGCACGGATGGGCCGGCTCGAACCGGGGTAGTACCACGACCTCACAGAAAACCAGCGTGAATTAGAGGTTTACCTCTGCGTTTCGCTTGGTGAGTACAGGTGGCCGGAGGCCCTTTTTACTGGAAATGAGGCATTCCATCTTAGTCCTCACGGATGACAACGCATCTACATTTTGATTTGTAACAGAGGATAGATGTAGATGTCTATGGGCCGCAGCAACCACTTACCATCAGGTGGACTGTGTGCTAGTTTGTCACCATTATCCTATAAAAAAAATCTTGATCAAGTCGGCAGAATCGAAATTCAATTTTTGCTTCAAGTAGACTTGTCATGCGCAATGATAGCAATACACCGTCAAGTTTACTGGACGCCGTTTCAAGCGCGCTGCAAGCTTGACGGTAAACTGGTACGTGTATGGCATATAGGATTATGGATAGTTTTAGTGGTAATAAAAAGTAAGTCAGTAATGTCGTGAATTACACACCCGCTAAATTAGTATATTTTTAAATAAATTTTATTACTTATGTAAATGTTTTAGAGTTCTAAATTTTTTTATTAATAAAATAAAAATCTACTTCTGACACAACAACATAGAATATTGTCTTGCGAAGGCGACTGGTTATAGTTTTAATCGCATAATCTAGGCTACGTCATAATCATAATATTAGTATTATGTTGAATGCAATAATTTTAATATTATTTCCTTTTTTACCTTTGCCATTTATTTTCTCAGTTCCTTTTGCAGTGCGTTTTCTTCGGGCATCATAAGGCTCTAAGACATCCACGTTGAAATTGGTAATAATTTCTGGATTCTGAAACGTAAGATCGTGCTTCAGACGTGTTTGACATGTTTGACGGATTTTATGGCATATACAAAGTGCCCGAAACGTCGGGAATATAAAATAAGCGATAAAGTCAGTAAAATTTAAATGTGTAGTATTCGAGTAAACAAAAGAAATTGTAGTCAATCAATAGTGTTGTCAAATTACTAAAGGAAAATAAACAAATAAACGTTTTTCATTCCCCTCTTGCTCATCAGTAGATCATTGCTGGATAAATGGTTTTCCTATCGTACAATTTGTCATATTACCGCTTTTGTTGCCAGACGCAGACGCAAAGCAGTTGTCACCTTTGCCGCTGTTTCTTGTCTCCATTGTGAATATTTTCCAAAAACTAACATAAACTCTCTAACCTCTAGCCCGAAGGTGTAGACAGAGACTACGAGTTTCACTTTTGCACGGTCCTTACAACCCTTTCTTGCTACTTTGATCTACGCATACATGCTATTCGGTTAAGGGTATCATTAATTTGGCCCTTTTAATATATCACCAATTTGGTCGAAAAACTTCCCGTCTTGGGCGGTCCTTGCCAACTATGCGACTGTCTGAACTTCTGTAGCATAAATGTGATTTTGTCTTTATTCTTTTGATCATTATAAATCTGCCATAAACGAGCATATATGATATAATGTCATTTATCTTAGATAGACCATTAACCGCGTAGTGGCGTTGTAAGAATATTCATAACCCCATATTGTCCCGTGGGCGTCTTACGAGGTGACAGAGGGAATCTGAAACAGGAGATGACCGATCTACGCAGAATGAGCTTGATGATGATGAGACGAAGATAATTCGGGAGGCTATTGAAATTAGAAATATCCCAATTTCACAATATAGAAAATGGATGGTCGCTACTATCTGCTTGGGATCCTATATTACAATAATATTTTTTTATAAATTTATAACCACTATATAAAATAACGCAAATAAAGTATATGTTCTTGTTTCAATGACACACTCACCTGTCTTAACAATTTACCCACGTATTCTGTCGGATAATTAGGAACATGGTCACAAATGCCAATTTCTTCGCAGTCTTTCGGGATTTGAGGCACGAAGGGGCCTTGCTGCCTTGAATTAATTTCTAAAAATAAAATATTTTATTTGTATAACAATAAAGTTAATATTTTTAAGTAAAATACCCACCCTGTGACCGGCGAAGGACAGGGGCAACAAATATTTAACAGTGGTAGAGCCACGCGGCAGTTTTTGCTGTCGCACGGATGCGGCCAGCTCGAACCGGGGTATTACCACCACCTCACAGAAAACCAGCGTGAAGTAGAGGTTTACCTCTGCGTTTCGCTTGGTGAGTGCAGGTGGCCGGAGGCCCTTTTTACTGGAAATGAGGCATTCCATCTTAGTCCTCACGGGTGACAACGCATCTACATTTTGATTTGTAACAGAGGATAGATGTAGATGTCTATGGGCCGCAGCAACCACTTACCATCAGGTGGACTGTGTGCTCGTTTGTCACCCTTATCCTATAAAAAAAAAATATGTTAAACCTATGGTACTGCGATATTAGACACGACGATGCGAATATGCGCCTCATTTGTGTTTCGAATCAATGGGCCCCTTTCTGTGGCATTATTTACCAAGTATACCTCTGACTCTATTTTTAACGCGTATGTTTAACGTGTGTATCTGTGTGTCTGTCTGTGGTGTCGTAGCTCCCAAACGGATGAACCGATTTAGATTTAGTTTTTTTTTTCTTTGAAAGGTGACTTGATCGAGTGTTCTTAGCAATGATTCAAGATAATCTTTTTAGCCGTTTGAAGATTATCAGCTTATTTTGTATCGGCGGTTTTTAAAATTTTTATTTTAAGTTATTATTTATATTTACTACAAACAGTATTTTACATAATATGGAAACATTTTTCTGCCGACTTCCAAAAATGAGACGGTACTCAATTCGACTTTATGTTTTTTTATGTATGTTACCTCATAACTTGTTACTGGGTGAACCGATTTCGATGATTCTTTTTTTATTTGAAAGCTGGTACTTTTCGTGTGGTCCCATATGAATTTTATCAAGTCAGACCAATAGCTTTTGAGTTATTCTTCATAACTTATATTGAATTCGGCTGTACAAAATTTTTAATTTTTAATTATCTTAGTATTAAAAATAGTGTATACTAGACCACGACTGCCCCGTAGGTCTAATATTGTGTGACTGCTGATCACGTGGCCCCGGCTTCGAATCGATACAGCTTTCGATTTAGGTGTGACACGGACGATACTCATGATTTTTGTCTTGCTCATGTTTATCTTAAGACCTATCTTTTGAGAGATACTATAGAGGTCATTGACTTAACTCATAACTACTTCCAGCTATTCTATCATAATAATTACAATAACGTAAGTAATTAGCTTACCAATCCTACTATATTATATAATATATTACTATGTTAGGAGTCCGCATTCTATAATTTTATATGTTTGCGAGACTATTATATTATCGAAAAGGCTGACTATGGCATTGCAGCTGTTAGTAAGTGCTCAAATAAATGTTGCTTTGAATTTATCATATTATTACATTTCTACTATATTTTACAGGTATTTAGGGCGGAAAATACTATACTCGATATTAAAAAAAATTGCAGCCCTAGTTGTCAAATCAAAGGCGGGGAAATGGTGCAGTCGATAAATACTGAAGTCTTGTGGATATTGCAAGCATAATTTAATGATTTTTTTTTATAGGATAAGGGTGATTCATTTACATTTTTGGGCCAGTCGAGATCAAACCCAGTTCGAAAGAGAAGCTATGGTTGAGCTCGCGAATCTCTCACTTTAGGCAGTTTCCGAATGGGGCGCTGCTAAGCTTATGATATTCAGCGCCTCCAAAACACAAGCTTCTCTCTTCACCGCGAGCCGGCTCACACTGGCTCCCACTTTCCGGGATGAATCTTTGGAATGGGTACACTGACCGCCTTCAGTTGTTAGGGGTTGAGATTTCTTCGAACCTCTACAATGGGCGGTTCATTGAATCAATGGCCAAAGTAACCGCAAGGCAATAGGTGTTCTTGCAAGGGCGCGGCGGTCCTTTAGCAGCTTCTTACTATATTTAAAGCGCAAGTCAGGTCGTTCATGGCGTACTGCTATCACATATGGGCTGGTAATCTGAATCACAGCTGGACTTAGTGGAGAGACGTCGTTTATCGGTGACTTTGATTTGGTTGAATCCAATCTTGTCGGTATTTTATAAGATGTATTTCGGAAAGCGTCCGCAGGAAGTCACGTAACAGAAGGTCGAGTCCATAAAAATAGATTTGTATACCTACCTATTTCAAAGAGACATAAAATATATGTGTTAGCCGTGAATAAGAAAAAGTGTAAAGAATTTTTGACCGCCTGGTTGTCAGATGGTGGAAAGGATAGGGTAATAGGGTAGGGTAAGACTATAGTTATGCTATACCTTTATATATTTATAGTCTTTGTTTTTTCTGAAACATGTACCTAACTACTTTCATTACACTATGTTGAGCACAATTTAAAATTTAAATCATATTAAAAAAACGTCCAAATTGAAGTTAAATAGTGTTTATATATTTGTGTGCTATAGTTATGCTATACCTTTATATATTTATAGTCTTTGTTTTTTCTGAAACATGTACCTAACTACTTTCATTACACTATGTTGAGCACAATTTAAAATTTAAATCATATTAAAAAAACGTCCAAATTGAAGTTAAATAGTGTTTATATATTTATGTGCTAACACCGCTCAAATTGAAGTTAAATAGTGTTTATATATTTATGTGCAACACACGCTCAACATAGTGTAATGAAAGTAGTTAGGTACATGTTTCAGAAAAACAAAGACTATAAATATATAAAGGTATAGCATAACTATAGTCTTACCCTACCCTATTACCCTATCCTTTCCACCATCTGACAACCAGGCGGTCAGAACTTCTTTACACTTTTTCTTATTCACGCTTCGTTCGAACGTAACGGTTTACAGCAAGGGAGTAGAATAATTTGGTGGCGTTTATCTTCCGTCCGATTAAGATCTAAGCGTTTTCAAGGTAAGAGTGAATAGGCTTTTGTTACGCTACATAAGTGCTAAGGCAGAGCTATTTTCCACCTAGCGCATAGGAAAATATTTAAAAGAATAAGTCAAAATTAAAAAAAAAAACTAAATAATTTTTTCATTTGGTTTGGTAATTTTTTCATTTTTTATTACGTGGTAGAGCCATGCTGCAGCTATATTAGTAGTAGTTGTAGCAAGAATGGGTCGGCTCGACAGGGGAAGGACCACGCTCTCACAGAATACCAGCTAAAAATACCACCTTAACGCTGCTGTGTTTCGTATGGTGAGTGTAGAGAACCGGAGAGCCTTTTTACTGGAAATGAGGCGTTCCATCTTAGTCGTCACAGGTGACAACGCATCTGCATTTTGATTTAAAATCGAGGATAGATGCAGATGTCTATGGGCTACAGCAACCACTTACCATCAGGTGGACAGTGTGCTCGTTTGTCATTCTTATCCTATAAAAAATGTTATGTTTTTACCGAATATTTTTGTGATATTTAGCTACGCTGTCGTTAAAGTTATACCTTTTAAAACCACAAAACTTACCATTCGTTACCGGTATATTTCCCTCAGCGGCTCTCGCTCTTCTAAACGGGTGCTGACCCGTTTGCCGGGCCTCACTGCTATGCGACGTTAGAAATATCTGGAAGGATAAACGTCGAAGGACTCAATTTATAATTAAGTATTTGTAATCTATATATAATATTTATTTTGATAATTTTCATTTTACGTGTTTATAATTTTATACTTTTATATAATTTCTATTGTAATTTTCCGTGCAGTGGTGGAGTAAGAGGGTCCACTACTTACCCCAGTGCCGACAAAGGGCTGTTATATATATATATATATATATATATATATATATATATATATATATATATATATAACAGCTCGGCATTACGAAACTTTGAAAGCGTGATTTAGCCTTCGGTGTGATTCACTTGTGGCGCGACGACAGCGCCGCCACATATTCTTGCTATTTAGTATTACAGTAAAAATTGTATATTGTAATATAAATAATTTTTTTTATAGGATAGGGTGACAAACGAGCACACAGTCCATCTGATGGTAAGTGGTTGCTGCGGCCCATAGACATCTACATCTATCCTCTATTAGAAATCAAAATGTAGATGCGTTGTCACCCGTGAGGACTAAGATGGCATGCCTCATTTCCAGTAACAAGGGCCTCCAGCCACCTGCACTCACCAAGCGAAACGCAGAGGTAAACCTCTACTTCACGCTGGTTTTCTGTGAGGTCGTGGTACCACCCCGGTTTGAGCCGGCCCATCCGTGCGACAGCAAAAGCTGCCGCGTGGCTCTACCACTGTTAAAAAATATAAATATTCCTTTGTAACTTATTACATGTCTAGAACAAGTAGATGAAATTGTATACTTGGGGAGTGCTTTTAGCCGGGATGGAAGATGTGATTTAGATGTGAACAGGCGTGTCGCTGCCGGGAACAAAGTCAATGGTGCCCTGACTGCGTTAGTCAAAAGGCAAGGCGTAGTGAAGAGTGCACGCCTTGCAATACATAACGCAGTGTTGGTACCGACTTTGTTATATGGCAGCGAAACCTGGGTATGCCAGAAGCATAAAAGCAAATTGAATGCAGTGGAGATGCGATCTCTTCGTAAAATGTGCGGCGTTACCATGGCCGACCGAAAGCGAAACGAAGAGATTCGCAATATGGCAGGTTTGAAAGATGACCTTATCACAAAAATTGATAAGGGCGTGCTTCGGTAGTTTGGGCACGTTGAGCGAATGAGTGAAGAACGAATGGTGAAGAAAATATATAGCGCGAAAGTTAATATTAAAAGGTGTCGAGGTAGACCGAGACTAACTTTCGAAGACCATGTGAGCAAATTGCTCGAAGAGGGGAGGGTCAAGAGTACTCGGATACCTAGACGTGCATGTATGAAGAAGATAATGAATCTGAAAGAAGCGAAAGAGGTATGTAAGGATCGTGACACTTGGCGATCTGTTCTCTCTGGCTACCCCGTCAGGGATTGTGCGTGAAGATAAGTAAGTAAGTAAGTAACTTATTACATAACACATCAATACGAACCATTTAATATTGGTATTGATATATTAACTTATGGTCTGAATTCTCAATTATTATTAATAATAAAAATGACGTACTCGTATTGCTCGAAACTACGCTCATTATACCTTATAACCTTTCGATATCTATCAATAAGCCCTTTAAGTGACCTTTGGGTTATTTAGAGTTAAAAGTCGCGCCATTAACGCTACGCAGTAACTTGACAAGCTGAGTCATGTGATAATGTACTTTGTGGTCATGAGCAACTAATCCCGACTCCCGATCGATTGAGCAGTTTTATAATATATTAATGTTTGCACGTGACTTCACACACGTGGAAACAGGAACGCCTTTGTATTATTTTTTATAGAATAATAGTAACAAATGAGCATCCAGTAAGTGGATGCTGTCGCCCATAGATATCCACATCTATGCTTGATTGAGAATTAAAATTTAACTCGTTCTACACTCACCATGCGAAACATAGCAGCAAGGCATATATGGGTAACAATACCCATGATGACTGAGATGGAATGGCTCGCTACCGGTAAAAAGGTTTCTGGTTGGACTTTTTCGGACTATACAAAACAGAAGCTATTTCACTCTGGTATTCCGTGAGACCATACCGACAACCGATGGGAAAAAAAGGTTCTCGAGTGGCGGCCACGTACCGGTAGGCGAAGTTTAGGGCGACCCCTTACTAGATGGAGTGACGACCTGGTACCACATGCAGGCAGTCGATGGATGTAGGTGGCTCGGACCGTGCTTTGTGGCATAACTTGGGGAGGCCTATGTTCAGCAGTGGACTTGTGAAAGGCTGTAATGATGATGATGACGATGCTGATGATTCTGTGAGATCGTGGTCCTTCCCCGGTTGAGCCTACCCTTCCGTGCTACAACCATCAGTACAATACCAGTATACAGTCCACCAATCTGGGTTGTTTGAGTGCTGGCTTCACCACCATCATTGCCATTCTAGACAATAACGGTCAGCGGGAACCATGACAACAGAGAGCAAGATGCTATAGTAAATTATACGAACAGTATACTGCCCAACTCTCAGGATAAGCCGTTAGATAGAGCCTTTTCTCTTTGGATTTGTTAATCGCGAGTATTCTACATTCCTTTTGTTGGCTATGAAAGTGGCGATCAGAGAATCAATTACTTCGGAAACGAGATAGTGAACTCTACTTCGGGAAGCGACTGCGAGCAATCGACTTACAACATCTGCGGTTATTAAGGAGCTCACCAAAGAAGCCATGCGATTTTGGACAACATGATTGTACACTTCCTGTGTTTGTGTTTAAGAATACATAAATTTTTCATTCTAATCGGCATTTTCACTCACCACGCAAGTAACAATACGTTATAAATATAGTAATATTGAAGAAAAAACAAAAACCAAAGAAACAAATGAATAACCTATTTTGAAGATGGAATAATATAACTTAAATATAAAATTAATATGAATTTAGAATTTCATGTCAATTCATATCGTTTGCAATTCATAGTGACCAGTGAAATAAAACGGCAATTTCATAGGTAGGTACCCGTGGCTGCCGAATAGTGGCGGCGTGAGAGCATCAACTATCCCATACAAAGACGTATTAAAAAGATAGACAGGTTACACACTAACATTATACTATTTTAAAGTGGGGCAGGTAGTACTATATCTACGTACAGTTATTTATTATGAAATTTTGCTCTAACAAAAAGAGACAAATGATAGGGCATACCTATCGTTAAAAAAAGATGAATATAGGTATATCATTAGTTACGTATTGATTGCTGCCGAGCGCTCACTGGCGCGAGCGCGTGACATACCGATATGGAAAATGAACACACATAGCTAGCGTCAAAGTTTACACTAGCGGTTAGTGATGAAATAATAAAATGAATTATGAACAAAACATCTATATTTAAAATATTTATGAGACGTTTTTCTAGTCTCTAACAGTTGCCGTATGATTTGTTAGTCAAAAGGCAAGGCGTAGTGAAGAGTGCACGCCTTGCAATACATACGCAGTGTTGGTACCGACTTTGTAATATGGCAGCGAAACCTGGGTATGCCAGAAGAAGCATAAAAGTAAGTTGGATGCAGTGGAGATGCGATCGATTCGTAAAATGTGCGGCGTTAGCATGGCCGACCGAAAGCGAAACGAAGAGATTCGCTATATGGCAGGTTTGAAAGATGACCTTATCACAAAAATTGATAAGGGCGTGCTTCGATGGTTTGGGCACGTTGAGCGAATGACTGAAGACCGAATGATGAAGAAAATATATAGCGCGAAAGTAAATATTAAAAGGTGTCGAGGTAGACCGAGACTAACTTTCGAAGACCATGTGAGCAAATTGCTCGAAGAGGGGAGGGTCAAGAGTACTCGGATACCTAGACGTGCATGTATGAAGAAGATAATGAATCTGAAAGAAGCGAAAGAGGTATCTAAGGATCGTGACACTTGGCGATCTGTTCTCTCTGGCTACCCCGTCAGGGATTTTGCGTGAAGATAAGTACTTAAAAACACAGGAAGGCAATTTTGCCACGAATAACTAGAAGATTTACAAGCCGAAGCGAAGGTATAGCCGCGACGTGAGAGCGTGCCCGACTGAATACGAGTCGGGCAATTACCTGACTTTCGTATTGCCATTTTAGAGCGAGTATGACGTATCTATACTTTAAGGCCGGCCACATACGTACGGAATTTCTCCGATTCGAGATTCCGTATGACCGCCTGTGCGTTCGGGATCCCGAACGGAAAAAAGCCACTCCGAACGCACGTCTTCCATAGATTTTGTACGAGTCGCAACACACATACGCAAATTCCGTACGGAACGCGCTCAGTGTTCGTCGCACTGGAGGTGGGCAAAGTGTATCATTTTTGGGATTGGAACATTTGCATCTTGATCACTGAAATGTTCCGAAACACTGATATGTTTCATTTGGCTCATTTGTATCATCGCCTCAAAATATATAAAAGAAAGAATGTTCCGAATAGGTACATTAAGTTGCGTCGCGGGCGTTTATTACTGACCGATCCGTGAAATATTGTGTGGCAACCATGCTGAATAATATAAGTGCTTAGATTATTTATTGTGTACCGTAATAAGATTGTATATAAAATCGATTGTCCTTCATACTTTAACAAAAATGTCACTATGTCAATTCATTATTTACAAAAATGTCCATTTACACAAAACAGCAATGTCTATGTACACAGAATTTACTCGTAAAGTATCATAACTCTAAACTTTACGATGAAAAGGAAGAAAATAAAGTCACAATAATCACTACGCAAAGAAATCCTAAACATAACTCAGTATGTTTTCGTAAACAGGCGCTAATGAATATAAATAATTTGACAAGTGCCGCATCAACGTAAAATGTCAACTTGTTAATGCAAACGTTACATACAAAAAACGACCGTATAGTATTTGACACATAAGCGCCTTAGTGGTAATTTTTACGTGCATGAATAACGTCAGCGAAAATCCGTACGAGTTGAGGATACACTTCTTATTTGTTATCTCTATCTGACTTGTGTGGATTATAATTATTTCGCCCGCTCACTCGCCACTCGTGGGTCAATAGTTAAGTTAATCATTGTCTCAGTCTCTCTCTCTTTCTCTCGTGGCTCAGTCGCCTCGCAAGCGACGCGTCGCGCGAAATGAGCAAAGAGCAAAGTAATGTTTCACTGTTCCAGATACAAATGATACATTTGAAACGTTGTTACTGAACCAATCTTTTGTGTCACTTCAGTGATTCGTATCAGTGAGTCGTTTCCGTAAAGAGATACACACGCCTACGTCGCACGACCGAAGCGAGTAGGTGTGTTTATGTATGTTTTTACATTTAATCCTGTAGGTGTATAGCTTTTCGTAACCTTTCATCTTATTTTATTTAATAATTCGTCGTAAAGAATGTAAATTCTTTACGACTAATTATTACATAAAATTATTACATAAATATTTGAAAAATATCTCTGGATAGATAGATCTTTTTACATAGTATTGACTATATTGCAAGCTTAGGGTGATAAGGGGATGCACCTAGTAAGAATGATAGAGCAATAATGGAATCACAATTAGAAAATCGTCGTCATTATTTACTGGCAGAATGTCTAGACGCAATGGCTAACGTCTCTCAACTGACCCTTGTTATTCCGAACGGAAAAAAACGTATGTGTGTGATGTATTCACGAAATCCCGATTCGGGATTCCGAAACGAAACGGAATTCCGTATGTATGTGGCCGGCCTTAAAAACATCTTAGATCCCATATCGTTCCGTGGGTATCGTAAGAGGCGAAATACGGATATGAAACCGAAGATGGGTAGCAGTATCTTCCTGAAAACCACTCCAAAATCAGCGGTTACCATTCTGCCTACCAAGCGTAGCGACCGTGGCATATATTTCCTTTATATGGGGATACCCACGTTCAGTAGTGAAATTTTAATAGGCGGAATACCGCCTATTAAAATAATACCGAATAAGATTTTTATTCAATAGAATAAAAATCTTATATTTAAGGTAATGATGATTATTACAAGTAGTACATTTGTGTACGGTTTACACGTACTTAATTTTATCTTTGAATCACTCTGAGGTTGACTGGTAGCTTTTTTATACGCCACCACCACATGCATATTCATGAGACGAGATTTCCTAAGCAACGGAATTGTATATTAACAACATACGACTTATAATCGTTAATTATGGCTTACATAACTTAAATATTATCTCTATACCTCTCTCTTTCTATTGACATTCAGTGAAGAGAGAACGAGCAACATTAAGCATTTCTTATAGTGCCTGTTTCGGCTACATATTATTAATTTATTAAATGTTGTAATTTAATGTATTTTTAAAGCACTATTGAACGTATTCTATTTTAATATTGTTATTTTGTTCTAATTACGGTTTTTAATATTTACTAGAAAACTGCTTTGGGGTGGCCAGAGCCACTATTTAACCACTGTCCTAGCGGCTATTTTACCCACTGTTGCTCATATTACTTGATAATATTATTGTGCTTTCGTATTTTTGAAAATTTAGCGGAAGTCATATTTGTTTTGTTTAATATTCGGACCTTTCCCAAAAATCACTGGGATGGTTTATTACTTCTTCCGGTATTGCCAGAAAATAATATTATACTATTTATTAAATACATGTTTTAGCTTAGATAAGCTTTTTCAAACTTAACAATTTATTTTCATCTATATTCGAATACCTATTTTATTATTTATTTTAATTAAGAATGAAAATAACTTATTTGTTAATAAAAATGTATTGTATGCTGGCAATTTATAATGTCCATGGCTGGCAACAGGTTTTTGTTATTTCTGTTTTTATACCTTTTTTAGCTATACTTATTCGCTCTTCACCTTTAGTGTTGATTTGTGACAAGCTAAATGTTTAATTATTGCATTTAGTTAGTAATATACATGTATATTACTTAATGAATAAATTAAAATTAAATAAGTTTTATCTACTAATAATGATATAAAATATAAAAGGAGGAAAAATCATTGTCAACTAACAATTAAGGCGATGTTCAAATGTTGGAGCACTTAAATAAATAACAAGAAGCGAACTAGACAAAGATGGAAAATTACATAATTCGAAATAATTACATGGTGTAATACACTCACCAGCGAAATCCAAATAGCACAACTGTATAACCACACCATCTTTGTTTAATTAATACTTTTTGTTTCTTCAAATTCTGTGCGCTGGCTTGAAGACTTGGGGTAATTTATTATTTAAACCTCTCAGTTTAAACCTCTCATTATAATGCATAGATCAATCTTAACTTATATAAAAATAATAATGAAAAACAAGTGCTACTTACGTCATACATATCAAAGAACATGAAATTAGGTTATGAATTTAGAAGCGACATTTACGCTGTATAATATAATACATTATTTATACGCGTGTTATTTACTTCAATAATATATTAATTTATTTGTTTTTTAATGAAATAATATGTATAGAGGCTGCAGTATGTATACATTTGATGTTGCAGCCAAACAGGGCACAAATTGAATAATTGTATTGAAATCTTTTAATCCTAGCCAGGATGCTCTGAATCGTGCTATTTGTTTGCCGGATATAATTTCTTACAATCGATAATACAACAGGATAAACCGCGAACGTTATATTCGACATGTAACACTGGTTTTGTGTAATGTTAATAAAAAATGGTGTCATTATTCATGTACGCTCTTTGTCAACGTGATGAAGTTTATTTCAGGTAAGTATGTAACTTTATTTCTTATTTTCCTAAAAGAGTACCAGTCGTGAATGAAAATAAGCGGACGCGATTCACAGCCGTGACAGTTTTTTTTCTGAATTTTCGGTTTAGTAATATACATAAAAGTCTTTGCATTGCATTCGTAAAATATCAGAACCAGTTATATGTTGTACATATTTTTAATTGTTTTTCAGTTTTCACTTTATTACCTACGTGACACTACCGTTATTATTTGTAGTTTTAGTCTATGGCATTTGTTTTATCACTCATCAACTAGCATACAGTTGTCCGTATCGCTTATTACATGTGGGAAAACCCAACAGTATGCACGGATATTCCTTCGTATTGGGTGAATTGAACAAGTTGAGCTGGTCACCAGATTTTCCGATGAAATACTTGCAATAATTTTGACGGCAGAAATAAGCCGGTTATTTGAGTTTTAATATGTTTAAGAACGATGTATTTTTTTATCGTTTTTATCAACGTTGTCCTTTTTCTTAATTGATTTTTTCTTTCGCCATCATTCATGAAAATATCAGCCGAAGTTGACGGGTTAAGACGAAGACTCAGGTATTCAAATACCTACAATCGCGAGTTTAATTTTTTATTTATTTATTTAATTCATAAACTGTGGCTTACAGAAAATCCAACACGCACACAAGGTTAAATTTTACATGCAATAAAAACAAAAATTGTATCCATCCATAACAACAAAAATTAATAATTATAAATTAATTAATTATAAAATAATAGTAATATAAAATCTCGAAGCTTTTGGCAGCCCGTGTCAGAAATTAAAATGGTAATAAAGCCAATTAAAACAATAAAATACTAATAATTACACACTGAAATATTTTCAAATATTTATTAATCTGACCATATCACAGTGAAATATTAAGAGCGTTAAAAGTTATAATAGTTACTTACAAGTTTTAAGGGGCTTTATTTCCGGTAGGCATCATCATCTTTCGTGTCCAATAATGGAAATGAGACTCTATCAAAACAAACTTCCTAAATCTAAACCACACTTTTCAAAAATTTCAATTTTATAAGAACCTCAAGAACAAAGTTGTCATTTTGTCTTTGTCTTTGTTTGCTGTATAGTGGAGACGAAAGAGAAAGATATGGGGTAGTATCATTACGATATGGTATAATTGGGGTAGTATCATGATTCATGCATTTTCATGGGTGTAGTAAAAGACGACAGAGGGAGTATGAAACAGGTGATGGATAGCAGCATCTTTTTGATAACAACTACTACTAATAATAAAAAAAAACTACCGTTGACAACCCGCCTGCCAAGCATGGCAACTACGGCACACCCAATCTGGGTGAGGCATATGATCAGTAGCTTACTTTTGGCGAGCTGTAATAAATATTAATTATACCCATAGATTATCGCGGAGGCCTATGTTGAGCATTGGACTTGTAATGGGCTGTAGTAGTAGTAATAATTACTAAAAAAGTTATAGAATAGAATAATTTTTTATTCAATATAGATCAAATGTGTAATTCTTATTGAAAGTCATTTTTTACTTTACCACTATTAGTTAAAGTTACAGCCTATATACGTCCCACTGCTGGGCACAGGCCTCCCCTCATTTCTGAGAGGGTTTCAGCGCAAGGAAGTGTCCGCCGCGCTGCCCTAGTGCGTGTTGGCGAACTTTACATGTCTTCGCATTTTTTTCTTATTTCTCAGATTTTCCTCACGATGTTTTCCCTCACCGCTGAGCACGTGGTAAATCAGCACTTAAAATTGCAATTAATCATTTCAATGGTGCCGGCGGGAATCGAACCCGGATTGCTCGCGTACTGTGAAATTTACAGCGAGTACCAACCATCTGAGCTACCACGGCTCATAATTACTAAAGGAACTTACCTATGAAATCCATATTGCGCTTACACACACTAACATTGTCTTATTTAGAAACATTTGTGTGTTCATTCAGTAGTGCAACGTTACTATTTTTATTTTAAATACCTCTAGCTGTTCCAGCAGACACAGTTATTTTATTACAAGTATGTAAGACTTTAAAGATCATTGTCTAGGTTGTGGCTACTGTCCAAGAGATGCTTAACGAAATAGTATCTATCGGTATTGGAATTTCTGTATGCGGCTAAATGCTCTTTATAACGTGTATCTAAGTCTGACCCACGTTGTCACAAATAAACAAAGTTTGTATATACCCGCCTTTGACGTATATCCAACTTATCTTTATTATTACAGACATTACGTACAGTTGTTTGTTTTGAACGCCACATAAACGCTGCTCTGTTGAAGAGTATTAGCTAGAAAACGTTGTCAAGAAAGCGTTGTCACCTTTCTTTAAGAATAAGACCACCGTATTTCTGCTCCACGCCTCCGGTGTAGTGCCACCATGGAGGACGGAATTAGAGCCTCTGAAGGACTTCAAGTACCGGTTTTCCACCCGCTTTCAGAAGCTCCACTGTAATTCCATCTTCACCTGGGGCTTTGCCGTTTTTAAGGTGCTCGAGAGCCATTCTAATTTCGCTCAGACTGACCTCCGGAGTATCATCGAAATAGTGTCGGATAATACTTACTCTTGGATCGTTACTCACACTTGCGTGTAGCTCCAACGATGATGTGTACTGCTGTCCATAGAACCTCTCAATCTCACTCAAAATCTCAGTTTTCCCGGAAACGACGCTGCCACACTCGGTCTTCAGCTTCAACAGTTGGCTCTTTCTAGGAGACAGATCTCTGGCAAAGACTTTGGAGCCTTGGTTACGCTCCATCGCTTCTTCAATATGAGCAGAATTAAAATTGCGTATGTCCCGCCGCATGCATTTGGAGATCTGTCTGTTTAGTTGCCTACTGAAGACTGCAGATTCATTTCCCGTCTAACAGCCATGCGATTAAGAGTGTGATCGGAGAGTTTTTGTGTTCTTCTGTGGCGGGTATTGCAAAACTTAGATCCGACCGCATGGACAGTTTCCACGAGCTTGTCATTCATATCGTCCACTTCATTGCAGTCTTCTAGACACTGAAAACGGTTTTGTAACTCGAGGTTTTTTAACTGTTTTGGGACTTTGGATTCAAGTTCGAGGGAGACGGATCGTTGACTTTAGACATTCGGTGATCGTTACTAGTTTCACCCCCGCGATCACTGTAATATCACTGAACAGTTGTTGTCTAGTCATTCTCAGTGGCTTTTGTTGTCTAGTAATGAAGTCAATCTCATTTTTTGTCGAACCGTCAGGGCTCGATCAGGTCCACTTCCTGTGGGGCCGCTTCTGGAAGAAAGAGTTTATCATAAAGAGTCCCTCTTTTTCCATGAAGTCGGCCAGCAGCTGGCCCCTTGGGTTCCGTTGCCCTATTCCAAATTTCCCTACCCTCAGCTCACCGTTCTCTCTTGTGCCTAGTTTTGCGTTGAAGTCTCCCATAAACACAGTATAGTGGATTTTGGAGGAATACATGGCTCTAGATATATTCTCATACATTTCCTACACATCCTCGTCGGGATGTGCGGAAGGTGGTGCGTAAACCTGTATGACCTTCAACGAATACCGTTTGGTGATTCTGACTATAAGGTATGCAACCATCGTCGACACACTCTCAATCTTTACAACGTTGTTAACGAGAGACTTGTGGACGATAAATGAAAATACTAAAATGCCATCCGACACCTCCTTAGGCCAGATGGTCGCTATTCCGGTGATATAACAAGTTGCCGGATTCGAGGATTACCATGTCCTCTGTATCTGTATAAGTACGTTTGTAGGTAATTTTTGCCTCGCTTATCTCGAAAACAAAAACATTGCTTTTGGTACAGTGATTAAAAATTATATATCCTAACATATTCTGTTAGGATATATAATTCATATCTGAGACAAGAGATGGATCTGTGGTGGCACATAGATCTGAAAATCTCTTTGCTTCTGGCCGTATGAGTATGAGTACTAAATGTCGCCCAGTAAGCTATGAAGAAAGCTATGCTCGGAGTTTCTTTACGTGGTAGAATTCGATTCAAAGCAAAATTTGCAAAGAAAATTCACAATAGAAGCAGACTTTTTTTTATATAGGATAGGGTGACAAACGAGCACACAGTCCATCTGATGGTAAGTGGTTGCTGTGGCCCATAGACATCTACATTTATCCTCGTATGCGAATCAAAATGCAGATGCGTTGTCACCTGTGAGGACTAAGATGGAATGCCTCTTTTCCAGTAAAAAGGGTCTCCGGTCCTCTACACTCACCATACGAAACACAGCAGTGTTAAACTGCTATTTCACGCTGGTATTCTGTGAGAGCGTGGTCCTTCCCCGGTCGAGCCGACCCATTCGTGATACAACTATACTACTAATATAGCTGCAGCATGGCTCTACCACGTTAAAAAAAAGTTGAAAAAGTCAAAATAGACTGACAATCCATAGAGAGGAAAGGTGGCAGTGTCATACCGAAGTTAAAGGCAGTACTAGATGGAGTGATGACCTGCTATGAGATACAGGAAATTAATGGACGCAAGTAGCTCAGGAGTGTGCTTTCATTTTTAGCATTCTTAAGCATTCTTAGATGGTCAGCAGTGAACATGTGATGAAACA